AGCATGGCCGGAGAAGCAGTGCGTCGGTGCGCGCCCGGGATCCGAACCCGGGCCGCCAGCAGTGGAGCGCGCGCACTTAACCGCTAAGCCACGGGACTGGCCCCTCTGAGCGTTTCTTTTAGAAAACTTTTAACTGTGAACTCTTTCTCTGTCTCTGAGATATATGGAAATCCTTTTAAAAGCAAAGTAAGACTCTTAGAATCTGCATCCCAGAAATGTGTTTCTTGGGGACCTTGGAGACATCTTTGGAATGTGAACATCAAGGAGGATGACGTTCTGTCTCCCCATCTCTGTGGGAGTCTGGGCCAGGTGCTTGGCTCCAAGCTGTAACTTCTTGCTTGTCAAAAAGATACAAGAAGTTTTATTTTTCTGTTGGATAAAGACAGTTAACATGTATGTAATGGATTCTATCTGCCTGGCTATGTAAAAGGGTGAGATTTCTTTCTCTCATGGCAATCTCCCTAGCAGACAGCCTGTGATGTGCACTGCAGTCTTGGTTTAATGCCCATTCAATAATAAAACTTTTATTATTATTATTATTTATTTTTTTTGTGAGGAAGATCAGCCCTGTGCTAACATCTGCCAATCCTCCTCTTTTTTTTTTGCTGAGGAAGACTGGCCCTGGGGTAACATCCGTGCCGATCTTCCTCCACTTTATATGGGACGCCGCCACAGCATGGCTTGCCAAGCTGTGCGTCGGTGCACGCCCAGGATCCGAACTGGCGAACCCCGGGCTGCCACAGCGGAGCGCGTGCACTTAACTGCTTGCACCCCGGGGCCGGCCCCTATTATTATTTTTTAAAATAATTTATAGAAGTGATTTTTCTGAGTTGGTAGGAGATTGTATTTTTATTAATTTTCCCAATAATACTTAGTGAGAACCAACAGTGTGATACCAAGTGAACCAACAGTTGCCAAAAACATTATTTTGAGAGAATTAACAGAGGAACAGTTTCTAGAATGAACAAGGTAATAGTCCTGCTCTATACTGGGCTTAAAGTAGTTTATTCATTCTGGGTGCCACTTTACAAGGGGATAAAAATGGAATGCATTTGGAGGAGGGCACCGAGAATACTGAAGGAACTCAAACTATACAACATGATGGTTGAAAGAATTAAGAATATTTAAGCTGGGAAAGAAGAAACCCCAGAGTGAAGGTGGAGAAGAAGAGAGAGCAGGGCGTAATTATGATTGGAAAGTTGTCCTTGGAAGAGGGCTTAGATTCGTTCTGTATAGTACCAAATAGGAGATAAATTTCTATTCAATGTAAGGAAGAGAGTATTACCAACAAATCAAATACCAGAGAGAGAATTTTCCACCCCTGATGGTGTTCAATCATAAGCTTGACAATCACTCGATGTGGGTGAGTATCATATAAGGAATTCAAGTACTCTTTGGATTAATCTTTTCAAGATTCCTTCTAACTCTGCAATTCTAAAACCCTATGGCTCTTCTAAAATATTTGTTTATCTCTGTACCATTATTAGTTTATATTCAAAGGAAAAACAGATGACTTCCTGTAAATATTAAAAACAAAACTATACAAACCTCAGCAGCAGCGTAACCAGGGTATACTTCAACACCAAGTGCTTCTGCGTGTTCTCCCATCCAACTGACTAAATGTCCCAGGCGCACAATGTAATTGCCATGATTATTCATTGGAAGACCTACAAATATATGCTGAATTGATAAATCTGACTTTTTATTGATAAAACATCTCAAAAACATAAATATTTAATTAAAAAATTCTAATCAATGTATAATGTCTGCATAAGTATACACATTATCCTATAGTCAAAATTTCAATTTATTTCCTACAATTTTGGTATAGAGTTCTAATTATTAGATTAAAAACATTACAGAACTAAATTAAAAATTCCTGGTTGGCTTACAAGGCTATCTCAATTCTTCTAGACTGGAAGACAAAAGAACTGGGTATAGTCCTGCTTTCCCACAAGCTAGCTGTATAACTTTGGGTAAGTCCTTCAAATCTCTGGGCCTCAGTTTTCTCATCTGTAAAAGGAAGGGATTTCACCAGATGAAATATAGTTCCTTCCAGCTGTGGAATTCCATGATTCTAATAATATTGATCATACCTTACCTGGAAGAATTGGCACAGGAATTCTGTATTTCTCTGTTAAAATTCCAAATCTGTCTTCTGTTACGGGAGTGTTCAGTGGAGCCTAGAAACAAAAGAAGGAAAGAAGGGGAAAAGTTTTTAGTTCATATTTGTAAGGGTAAACACGAATAACAAAAAAACTGTGCCAAAGGGTAAGGGAAAACTACTCCCCTCACTTTTCTTTCAGCATTTGGAACTGTAAATCCTTTGTCTCTTTGAGATGTACGGGACTCTTTTTTCTTTCTTTTTATTATTTTATTGAGGTCATATTGGTTTACAATATAGTGTAATTTCAGGTGTACATTATTATATATCAGTTTCTGTATAGACTGCACTGTGCTCACCACCAACAGTCCAGTTTTTATCCATCATCATTAGATGTATGGGAATTTTTTAAAAGGCTAAACAAGCCAGTTTTGCTTCTCGGGAATGTCTTTCTTGGGGGCACTGGAGACATCTTTGAAATGTGAACATCAAGCAGGATGGCACCCTGTCTCCCTGTCTCTGTGGGATTTTAGCCTAGGTGCCTGCTCCAAGTTGTAACTTTTTCTTTTCCCCTCCCCAAAGCCCCAGTACATGGTTGTATATCCTAGTTGTAAGGGTAACTTCTTGCTTGATGAAAACATAAGACAAGTTTTATTTTTCTTTTGGATAAAGACAATTAACATGTATGTAATGGATTGTATCTGCCTAGCTATATACGGCTTTGATTTGAAAAACTTTTTCTCTCTATTAGAACTGATATTATGACAATAATAATTCAATGATACCTATTTCTGATATATTAAAAAGAGAAAGTTATTTAGGCATAATTAAATTATTTCTAGCTCAAAGGAGCTTGATATTTTAGAAAGAAAAGCATAGATGAAATTTCTGAAATTCAATTTACTCCATATGGAAAGAATACAGAAGATACTTACATAATTTTTTGACCTGAATAAAGTATATTCACAGATACTGAATATTCAAACCTTGAAGGTAGGACCGGTATAATACAACCCATCTTACAGACGAAAAAACCAAAATATATAGAGTGTAAGGTTTTAAGCAAGGTCATACAAATTATGAGAGCAGTAAAATTAGCATTTGGTCCTCTGCGTATCATATTAGTGCCTTTTCTGCTTAGGTTATGGGAGGCCATATTAAATTATTTCTTTAGAAAGTTAGATTACATTATCCTCTTTGGCTTTAAATATTGCAATGTCCCAGGAAATTTTATATAACACGTTATTAATAACAATGATATAAACACCTACAGAACAAGTTAGGAAAACCTTCAAACTCAGAATGGTGTATGTTACTTGGTACAAATATTCAAAGGTCTTCTCAAGATAACGTCTTCTTATTAATCCAGTATATAAATACAAAATATAGAAGGCATTATATAAAAATGAGTTAATATCTTAAAATTATAACTATATTTGATATCATTCAATCTTTTTTGCCCTTTTTAAATAAAAGAAAATCTATAATTATCTTCTAAGAGATAGAATTACATGAAAAGGGTTTTCCTTGTTCCAGTAATTTGGAAACAGAGATACAATAAAGATTAGACTTTGTATAGAAAACAATTTTTCATACTCCCTTCTCCTTCCAGTCTGGGAATAGTTCTTCAAACGCACACGGATCAAGGCAAGCCCCAGAGAGAGTGTGAGCTCCTATTTGAGCAGCTTTCTCCACTAGACACACACGGATGTCTTTCTCGTGTTTAGTAGCCAACTGCTTTAGACGAACGGCTGCAGAGAGCCCTGCAGGGCCTGCACCAACTATTACTACATCCGCTTCTTCTGCAAACCTCTCCATGTTCACTCCTGGGAGGAAAAAACCGTTTAAACTTTGCTTTGAGATTTATTACTATAAATTTAGCAAATATCTGCTTATCTAAATATTAATATGTAATAGATTTGGTAAAGCTATAAAATATTATTAGATGATTTTATACTATTGACAAAAATATAATATTTCCCTCCACAAAATGATACAAGGTATCTAGAAAAGTCTCAACAATTTTACACAAATTGTTACTTACCTTCCCATCGCTTGTCCTTATCCCGGGGATAAACAGTATAGTGGGTAGTAATTCGAGGTACAACAGAAGTTGAAGACCATCTTGTAGCACATAGAGGTAGATAATTTTTCTTAATTTTTAAGGCATGAAAGCACTGATATGCTGCACAAAAATTATGAACATTATTATTTTTTCAATTCGTTTTCCTCAAGAGTAGATTGAAAAAACATTTTTTAAAAGAAAAAAAATCTAGGAGTGGGGATCAGATCTGGTTTCTGGTCAGTTTTCTATTAATTAGCCCTAAGACCTTAAACAAATCACTTAACCTCTCCAGATTTCAGTTTCCTCACCCAAAAAAGTAGAGTCACTAGAAGACCTTCTTGACTTGAAATTGTATGATTCCACATGAAGCCTTTGGAAATATACTTGGCAACTTGTTTATATTCTGACCATATCAACACTGCAGACATTCAGTGAATAGTTAGATCTATGCCATAGAGCTGTTAGTTGTGACATAAATTGAAATAGATTGTACTCTTCTAGACGAACAATTCAGTTAGCTTTTTCTTATAAAGCAATGTTTCCAAATTATATTCTTAAAGTATCTAATAAACTAATTTATTCAATTCAGCTCATGTCAAGCTTAACCTATGAACAGGATGACTATATAATTTATCATCCAAACTGGACAGTTTTAAGAGTAATAAGGGGCACATTAATGATTATGCTGGGACAATGTGGGCAAAGTGGGTTTTATAGTTAGCTTCTTTTTAAATTAAGTTGACTCTCCCATTTGGCAATATCTTCTGAGAGCCTTAAAAATGTATATATTCTTTGAGTTAGCAAATAGGATTTTATAAAAATAAATAGAAGTGTGCAAATATTTATCTGCAGGGATGTTCATTAAACCTCTGTTGTCCTTAAACCTTCACCTCCGCCTTCTCCCTTCCTTACTTGGAGCTAGAGCAGATGCCCTAGCACATTAAACCTCATAGAAAGACAGAAGCAATTAGGGGCGAACTTTCTCAGTTCCTTGGCAACAACCTCTAATGTAATCTGTATTTGTGTCCATCCTTTGTTCATTCTCTGAGGTTATAGTAGAAGACATGTCTCTTTTCCTCCCTTAGATTAATCCTTCCACCTGGATGATGAGGCCTATCCCTCTCATCTTCTTAGGGACATTCCTCCATCTGATACCCTCACTTCCTGCTGCATCTTCAATTTCTGACTCCCATCTCTGGTACTCTTCTTCTCAATAATTCTTCCCATGATAAAAAAAAGGACAGAGAATCCTTCCTAGCCCTGACAGATATAAAAACCTACATTTGGAGCTATAATAATTAAAAGTCTGTTATGGGAGAAGGATAGAATAATCAAAGGAACAGAATAAAGAGTTCAGAAATAGTCAGAATACACATAAGGATTTGGTATATGATAAAGATGCCATTTCAAATCAAGGAGAAGTGATGGTTATTTATTAAATGGTGCAGAGGTAAGTAGAAAGTCATTTGGAAAAAAGCAAACCTCTCTGCTTATATCAAAATGAATTCCATTTGGTCAATGATTTTAACAAAGAAAGTCAAAGTATAAAAGATTATGGTGATAGATCCACAAATTACTTGATTCTCCTGCTTTTGAGTGTGGGCTGGACTTGTGAATAGCTTCCAACAAGTACAGTATGGAAAGGGAAAAATATTAACTTTACAGTGGAGAAATATGGCAGACACTTTAACCAAGTGATCAAGTTTAACATTACCAGCAATAAGACATATTTGTATCACATACTCCCTGATATGATGTAATGAGAAGGGCTCTTCACCTCTGTGGTATACTTCCCCAAAATCTATAACCTCAGTCTAATCATGAGAAATCACCAGACAAACTCAGATTGAGGAACATTCTACAAAATGCCTGGTTAGTACACACCGAAAGTGTCAAGGTCATGAAAGACAACAGAAGACAGAGGAAATGTCACATTGACGTTGACTAAGGAAACATGACAACTAAAAGCAACGTGATGCCCTGGATTGGATCCTGGAACAGAAAAAGGAAATCTGAATAAGTCTATAGTTTAGTTAATAGTATTGCATCAATGTTAATTTCTTAGTTTTGATAATTACCCTATGGTTATGTAAGAAGGTGAGCTGAGCGAAGGGTACAGGGGATCTCTCTGTGCTATCTTTGCAACTCTTCTATACGTCTAAAATTATGTCAAATTAAAAAGTTGAAAAATAAAGATTATGATAATACAAAAGTTAACTCAAAAAGGATCAAAGACCGAAAGGAAAGAGCTAAAACTATAAAATTTTTAAAAATACACATGGGTGTAAATCTTTGTGACCTTGGATTAGGCAATGGTATCTTAGCTATGACACCAAAAGCACAAGCAACAAAAGAGAAAATAGATAAAACTGTATTTCAACAAAATTAAAACCTTTTGTGTTTCAAAGGATACCATCAAAAAAGTCAAATGATAACCCATGGAATGGGAGAAAACATTTGCAAATCATGTATCTGATAAGGGACTTGTATCTAGTATATATAAAGAATTCATTTCTAATAATAAAAAGACAAACAACCCAATTAAAAAACAAGCAAAGGATCTGAATAGACCTTTCTCCAAAGGAGATACACAAAAGGCCGGTAAGCGCGTGAAAAGATGCTCAACATCATTAACCATCAGAGAAATACAAATCAAACCATAATGAGATACCACTTAATATCTACTAGGATAGCTACAATCAATAGGATAGACAATAACAAGTGTTGAAGAGCATGTGGAGAAACTGGAACCCTCACACACTGCTGGTGGGAATGTAAAATGGTGCATCCACTTTAGTAAACAGTCTGGCAGTTCCTCAAAACATTAAACACAGAGTTTCCATATGACTCACTCCTAGGTATATACCTAAGAAAAATGAAACCTATGTCTGTACAAAAACTTGTACACGAATGTTCATAACTACATTATTCATAGCAGCCAAAAAGTGGAAACAACCCAAATGTCCATTAGTGAATGGATAAATAAAAAATATCCATATGATGGAATATTATTCAGCAATAAAAAGAAATTAAGTAGTGATATAGGCTATACATGGATGAACTTTGAAAACATTATGCTAAGTGAAAGAAGCCAGCCACAAAAGATCACATATTACATGATTCCATATATATGAAATATCTAGAATAGACACAATTCCATGTATATGAAATATCTAGAAAATGACGTGATTTCATGTATATGAAATATTCCATGTACATGAAATATCTAGAACAGAGACAGAAAGTAGATTAGCTGTTGCCTAACTCTGGAGGGGATGGGGAGTGACTGCTAATGGGTGTGAGGTTTCTTTTTAGGGTGCTGAAAATATTCTAAAATAGATTGTGGTGATGGTTGCACAACTCTGTGAATATACTAAAACCCATCAAATTGTATACTTTAGATGGTGTGAATTGTATGGTGTGTGATTTACATCTCAATAAAACTGTTATTAAAAAAAGAACATTTAGGGGCCAGCCCAGAGGCATAGCAGTTAAGTTCATGTGTTCCGCTTTGGCAGCCCGGGGTTTGCAGGTTCAGATCCTGGGTGTGGACCTACTCACCGTTCATCAAGCCATGGTGAGGTGGCGTCCCATATAGAAAAGCTGCAACTCTACAACTATGATACACAACTATGTACTGGGGCTTTGGGGAGAAAAAAAGAAAAAAGAGGAAGATTAGCAACAGATGTTGGCGCAGGGCCAATCTTCCTCAAAACAAACAAACAAAAAGAACATTTACAGTCACATACACACAAAAGATTATGGGGAAAACATTGATAATTTTTCTTAGAATCTTTAATTTGGAAAAGTTTTTCTAAGTATGGCAAAAATCTCAAAAATCATGAAATCATTTGACTAAAAATGTAAAACATCTATATGATGAAAAATGGTATAAACATAAACGTCTTGCTTAGTTGCTTACTTGTCTGTATTCCTCAGTAGATAGCATATTCCTAAAGTATTCGTCTTTTCCTTGTTGTATGCTAAATCCCAGTGTTAGCCTATATATAGATATAAATATTTGTTGATTGAATATTAGACAGTCCCTTTTATACTCTCCTTCATTAGGGTATTCAATAATGCTTGACTTATGGTATTATAAAACAGCTTAATGCTTTTATAGTGTCAATCTCTGTCAAAAGACAAGCTAGAGTTATAAATCAGAAGCATTAAAAGGCCAATATGAGGACATAAAAAGATAAGCAACAGACTGGGAGAAAATATTCACAAAACACATAGCTGATAAAGAGCTGGTATCCAAAATATACAACGAACTCATAAAACTCAACAAGAAAACAAACAACTCAAAATATGGGGAAAAGATCTGGACAGATACCTCACCAAAGAAGATATACAGATGGAAAATAAGCGTATGAAAAGATGCTGAACATCTTATGTCATTAGGGAATTACAAATTAAAACAATGAGATATCACTACACACCTATTAGAATGGCCAAAATCCAAAACACTGACAACACCAAATGCTGCTGAGGATGTGGAGCAACAGAAACTCTCATTCACTGCTGGTGGAAATGCAAAATGGCACAGCCACTTTGGAAGACAGTTTGGCAGTTTCTTACAAAGCTAAACATACTCCTAACATGTGATCCAGCAACTGTACTCTCTAGCATTTACCCAAATGAGTTAAAAATTAATGTCCACACAAAAACCTACAGTCAAGCAAGGTGAATAAGCTCTGGAGATCTGCTGTACAACGTTGTACCTATGTCAACAATAACGTATTGTACGTTTAAACATTTGTCAAAAGAGTATATCTCACGTTAAGTGTTCTTATCACAATAAAATAAAAAAAACGAAAATATCCAAGATTTAAAAAAAAACCTTCACATGAATGTTTACAGCAGCTTTATTCATTATTGTCAAAACTTGGAAGATGTCGTTCAACAGGTGAATGGATAAACAGACTGTGGTGCATCCATACAATGGAATATTATTCAGCGCTAAAAAGAAATGAGCTATTAGCCATGAAAAGACATAGAGGAACCTTAAGTGTATATTACTAAGTAAAAGAAGACAATCTGAAAAGGCGATATACTGCCTGATTCCAACTATGTGACATTCTGGAAAAGGCAAAACTATAGAGACAGTGAAAAGATCACTGGTTGCCAGGAGATTAGGAAGAGGGAGGAAGGGATGAGTAACCGGAACACAGGCAATTTGAGGGGCAATGAAACTATTCTGTATGATAATGTAATTAATGTCATTATACATTTGTCAAAACCCATGGAATGTGCAACACCAAGAGTGAACTCTAATGTAAACTATGGACTTTAATAACAATGTATCAATATTGGCTCACCAGCTGTAACAAATGTACCATACCAAAGCAAGATGTTAATTGGCAATGGGAGCAGTTAAATGCAAACTATGTATCTTCTGCTCAGTTTTTCTTTAAACCTAAAACTGCTAAAAAAAAATAAAGTTTATTAATTAAAAACAAAACAAACAAAAAGGGCAACATGGAAAAAAGCATTGGTTAAGTACACAGGCTTTGGAGTCTGTCTACTTTGTTACTTTGTGTTTGAATTCATTAACTAGCAAGGAAACCTTCAGCAAGTTATTTAACTCTTCCCACCCCATCAGCTCTAAAGTTCATGGTTAATCTTTGCCTTGGAAATACTACGGTGTAGGATCTAGTATATATCTTAACATAAGGCACGTCACTAATACATATTTGTTAACTGGATAGGTACCTTCCCAGTTACAATTTCAACTGTCATCTAGGAATGTGCACAAATCTTTGGTTTAATTTCCTAAAACTAATTCCTAGGTTATAGAGCAATAATAATAATGATGGTCTTTCCTAGTTTTTAACTTGTCTCTTATAATGAAGCATCTCTTGCAAATGAACAAGCTTCTAAATTTGGACTATAACAAATAAATAGTAAAGGTCAACAAAGACTTTAGCATGGATTTGGAATATATAATAAAATTTACATTTTCATGGACATACTGAACAGTTAAGAATTTTCAATTTTAAAACCACGTCTTATCCTTCATACCTTGTGAGATATGTAGGGCAGCTACAACCCCATTTACAGTAGATAATGATCCCAGCCAAGCTCAGTTTCAATCCTTCCAACATCAGTCAAGTTCTGAGACTACAGTTGGATTTGAAATGATCTCTGAAGTAACAGAACCTGAGCCATGGTGAAAACAAGTTGTTTTTTCTCTCTCTCTCTCTTCCTTTCTTTTCTGGTTAAATGGAGAGATGACAGCCTAGCATAGGCTAATTATTTTTATTCTTTAGCACTCAATTGCATAATTATTATATTATTATGTTTTACTCCTTCCAATAAAATGATTTTTTAAAAAAATAAAAACCTGACATCAATCAATAATTAAAGATTATGATGAATGCAAGAAGGGAAGAGATTTGGAGTGGCAGAACTCTAAAGCCATTTAAACACTAAAAATCTGTTTTTGATAATTATTCAAAAACAGTGGCAAAGCTGCTGGTGGGAAAGCAAACTGGTGCAGCCACTATGGAAAACAGTATGGAGATTTCCCCAAAAATTAGAAACAGAAATACCATACAATCCAGCTATCCCACTACTGGGTATTTATCCAAAGAACATGAAATCAACAATACAAAGAGATCTATGCACGCCTATATTCATTGCAGCATTATTCACAATAGCCAAGATGTGGAAACAACCCAAGTGCCCACCAACTGATGAATGGATAAAGAAGATGTGGTATATATATATAATGGAATACTGCTCAGCCATAAAAAAAGACAAAATCTTCCCATTTGCAACAACATGGATGGACCTTGAGGGTATGATGTTAAGCGAAATAAGCCAGACAGAGAAAGACAAATACCGTATGTTTATCTCAATCAAACACATGGATAAGGAGAACAGATTAGTGGTTACCAGAGGGGAAGGAGGTGGGGAGGTGGGAGAAAGGGGTGAAGGGGCACATATGTATGGGGGCGGATAAAAACTAGACTATTGGTGGTTAGCACGATGTAGTCTATACAGAAACCGATATATAATAATGTACACCCGAAATTACACAGTATTATAAACCATTATGACCTCAATAAAATAATTTAGAAAAAAGCAGCAAGGAAACAAATTTTCCCTACTTGCAAATGCATATTAACAACTACAGTATTGGGAATAATTTTTTAAACCTTAGATAACTCTTCACCTTCCTAAACCTTGGAAAAAATGTATGTAAGATACATAAATAAAGATATTATAGAACTCAGTTCCAGAATTGAAATATAGTATTATCATCTTCAAAAGAATAGTTATTAAATATTTATTTATATTATTATTAAAAGACATTAAAAATATTTGTTTTATGATGCATTGCAGTTTAGTGTATACAAGTTATCATTTGCTTCTGAAAACTGATGATTTGGTATCAGACAAAACTGTAATTCTACTGCTTATACAGCTAGTGATTTTCTTGAGAATATTTGGAACTGGGTAGTCTGATTTCCTCCAGCGGGTGAAAAAAAAAACAAGTCACGACCTTTACCCCTTTTCTGAAAACAAATCTGATATTTCACTCTAGAGATTTGAACACTTAGGCACCTTGGCTAAATTTTGGTACAGAATTGAGGTCAGAAAGTCCATTGAACTCACAACATCACCACATTAAAGTCACATTGATGGTGTATTTGTGTCCATCTCTTTCTTGCCAGTAGTGCTAACTCTAGGGTATGAAAATAGCAACGACAAGCATCCAAGGAAAATGGAAATTGCGATTTTGTGGAATTTGGTTAGCACTTGGAACTAAATTAGAATGATCTGAACTAAATTAGACAGTAGGGCAGATAGCATCTGACTACTTTGATATTCCAAAAACATAAAGCATATCTATACCTTAGGTGTAGCAATACACCCATGAGTAACAGGAACTTTACACAAAATTCTAATTATTTAATATATGGTGGCCAAATTTGACAAAATTCTACTATCATGAAATTTACATATTAAGAACATCCTTGAATTTGCAATATGTATGCTTTTATTCTATAACCAAAAATTAACTTAGGGCCGGCCCTGTGGCTTAGAGGTTAAGTGCGTGGGCTGCGCTACTGGCAGCTCGGGTTCTCGGGTTCGGATCCCGGCGCGCACGGAGGCACCGCTTCTCCAGCCATGCTGAGGCCGCGTCCCACATACAGCAACTAGAAGGATGTGCAACTATGACATACAACTATCTACTCGGGCTTTGGGGAAAAAAAAAAAGGAGGAGGATTGGCAATAGATGTTAGCTCAGAGCCAGTCTTCCTCAGTAAAAAGAGGAGGATTAGCATGGATGTTAGCTCAGGGCTGATCTTTCTCACACACACACACAAAAATTAACTTAAACTAAACATAAAAAAGCCAGTTGTGAGAGAAATAAAGATCCTGTAGTAAACTTTTTTGAATTTTTAAGCTTTTTTTTTTAGAAAAACAAAACAAACCACTATCCAACTGCATCATTCAACCTTTTTTTTTTTTTAAGTGAAAGGGGGAGTTAATGAGGTATTTTCACGAGTCATCACGAGGGTTCTAGGAGCACCCATAACACGATAAGCCCCTAGAGTTAATTTTAGACAATGTAGAAAAATCCCTGGCTGCAGATATAACCTGGTGACATGGGCAGTATGGGAATGTTAATCATGATGTGACAGATCAGACTTCAAATTCTTAAGAACATACGAGGGTGGCTGCAAAGACGCAAGTCAGGTCAGGACCAAGGAGAAAAACTTCGCAAATATTATTTTACCCATTTTCGACAAGGCAACAGATAACACCTGAGCTTTGGGATAAGGGTTAGGACCAACATTTGGGAAGATTAAGTTCAAGAGTCCAGCGCGGGCCGTGTTGACCAGTTTCCTCCGCCCACGACCTTTAGCCTAGTTGTCAATTCTTCCAATTGGGACAGCCCCCGGGGGAAGAATCTGGGGTCCACCACCAGGCGCAGACAGCGTGACCTTTGTTCTAGTTTAGCCTGAGAACGTCGACGAAAGGAGAATAGGGAAGAGATGCCTACAGCCCTCAGATGTGGCCCCGTCCATTTCGCCCTAACTCCTCGACCTCCCTCCACTTATCCCCGCTCGGAGTTCCCTCTCACCCGGGCAGGACAGCTTGGCTAGCGGCACCAACATGTTCAGTGTAACCAGGACTCTCCGTCGGACACAAAGGATGGACTGTCTGCAGCTCGCCGTGTGCGCTGGACCTCTAAGCCGCAAGGGGCGCCATCACCTCCACTGAAGTTTGTCTCCCTGCTCAGCCCACCGCTCTGGCTTCACAGCGTTCCCGCCTCTTTCTCGCTCTGCGTCGGCGCCACGCATGACGCGATGGCCAGCAGGGGCTTGTGGGTCATGTGTCCAAAAGGAGGAAAAGGAAACGGACTGCAAGTCCCAGCGCTGCCCGCGGCTGCACGTTGCGGATTGAGTCTGCGCTGCTTTCTCACTCAGGCGTGGTAAGCCCGCTGCAATGTGGGAGGACCCACAAATCCCATAGTGCAACGCGCGCGCAGCAAATGGTAGTGGGAGGTGGACCGACGCGTACGGCATCCTGGGAGTTGTAGTCTTTTGCTCAAGTGCCCTCTGAGCCTGGCAGGAGCTGTGCGCAGGAGCAGTGAGCTGCGCAAGGTGAATTGACTTACATATGATTGGCTGTCCGGAAAAAATGAAGTCTTCGCGGTCCTGAGCAGACGCCCACGAGGAGGCGGGGCTTCTGGGCTTTGGGCGCGAGCGGTTGAAAGATAGCTGGTATCGGTTCGGCTGCTAAGGTCCGGTTCCGCGGGCCCAGCCCTTCTCCATGGCAGACCCCGAGGAGGTGCAGGTTTCTTCGCCGCCCCCGCCGCCTCCCTTCTCTCCTTCGTCTTCAGACGCCTCTTCAGCATCTTCCCCCGGCGTCCCGGTGAGTTTGGGCTGGCCGGTTCCGAGCAGGAGCAGCAGCCGAACGGTGGACCCGCTGGAGGAGGTGGAGCTGCAGATCGGAGACGTGAGTGTCGCCCCACCGGTCCCGGAGCCGGGTCCCCACTTGGCGATTGTCGGAAGACACACCGCGGGGGGGCCAGGGAAAGAGGGACCGGGAGTCCATGCACCCGGCCTGGCGCGTCTCGACCGTCTGCCCTGTAAGGGCGGTGGGCTGGGAGGTGGGGTGGGGGAAGCCGGCGACCAAAGGCCCCTCCCCGCGACGGTTCTGTCTTTAGATTTAGTGTTGAGGAGTTAACGGGTTATGCCTTCGCCCGCCCCATCCCTGTTTGCTTTTGGCCTCGCCTTCTGGTTTCAATCTTGTGCTGTAACCCGAAACCACGCAGCTCTGCTGTGCTGCCTCGTGCTGGCTCTGCCTGCCCTCTCATCCTCCCCCCTGGCTGTCTGTTGGTGTTTAGATCAGCCTGTGATTTCTCTCCGCGGGACTGTTCTAGTTGGCCACCTGCCCAGAGCCAGCTGACAATGCTATTGTCTGTCTCAGGCTCGCTTTGCGCTGGACCCAGTTTGGAGGAGTTAGTCACGGCCTCTGTAGTCCAGATTGGTTTCACTAACGGTTTAGTCAAAGACCCCTCCCTATGATTGCTAGAATGCATAGCAATGGATGGTTTCTTCTGAATCTCCAATTCCCAGAAACTAGCGCGAGCGCGCGCGGACACACACACCACCGGAGAAGGTCACAATTTGATTATTTAAGGACTCTTGAGTGGGTCAAGTGAATGAGATATGTAGGGTGTAATCTTCCTGGGAGAACTTTGTGGAATACACTCTCCTGTGCAGATTGGAAACTGGGGAATGAACTCGATTATCTCATTGCTCAACAAGTATTTGTTTTTTATTTTTTTTATTTTTGTGAGGAAGATCAGCCCTGAGCTAACATCCGATGCCAATCTTCCTCTTTTTTTTTTTTTTTTTTTTGCCGAGGAAGACTGGCCCTGGGCTAACATTTGTGCCCATCTTCCTCCACTTTATATGGGACGCGGCCTCAGCATGGCCGGAGAAGTGGTGCTCGGTGCGCACCTGGGATCCAAACCCGGGCCGCCAGCAGCGGAGCGCGCGCACTTCACGGCTATGCCACGGGGACGGCCCCAAGTATTTGTTTTTTTAAAAGATGACTAAAGTGCTGATAGAGCTTCAATTTTTGCTGACAAGACTGGTTTCAAGTGAATGTGTAGAATGGAGTGCTGATGTCTAGGAACAGGGTTATTTTATATCTTAGGTGAAGAGAACATTTAAGTAAGAAGTGAATTTTCCATCACGAGTTGGATATTTTCTGCATGTGTTTTGATTTTGTTGATGGTTATTGGTCAGCTCAGAGTATCTGTTCTTTGGTTTATACATTTTCATGGCCTAAAGTGTTTACTGGTAAAAGTAGTGGAATAATGCCTTTGTTACCCAAATATCAGTAAGGATTGTTTATGAAGAAGTCCTTTAGTACTTCTGGTACTTAGTGTCAAGGGGTCCAAGTCGTCTTGTTGAGCTAAATGAGACTCCAGTGTATTTTCAATTAAAAAAAAAATACTGACTTGTCATGTCTCATACATAATGCATTGTTCTTTAAAGCTTACTTCATATTAAAGAATTTCTTAGGTTCCCAGAAGCTTACTTCATATTAAAGAATTTCTTAGGTTCCCAGACAGAGCCGCTGTTTTAGTTTGAAGATTTTTTTTACTTTCAAAGAAAACAACTTGGGCATTGGATTCAGTTTTAAACTATTTGTAGACTGTTTATAAAATGAGATGACAATTTAAAAAATAAACTTCTATTGTTTGACTTTTTTTTTTTAAATTTCAGGCAGCATTCTCATTAACCAAACTTCTTGAAGCCACATCTGCAGTATCAGCTCAAGTGGAAGAACTTGCCTTCAAATGTACAGAAAATGCACGTTTCCTCAAAACATGGAGGGACCTTTTGAAAGAAGGCTATGATTCTTTGAAGCCTGACAACTGATTTGGCTGTGTCATAATTCACGCTTCCTCATTTATGATATTTGCACATGTACCATATGTATAGGACAAGCTCCAGCAGTTCTGTATACTCAGAATGAAATTTTTCTTGGTTTTCTTCACTTTTGGGAAAGCAGAATACTGATGTTATTTTTGATGCTGGCCAGTATTTGTTTATCTTTAAATACTTTCTGCCCTCTAAACTTTTAATAGAATCCTTTATGAAAGTTAATTTCATCAGTAGATAATATTAATAAGGCCACAGTGTTAGCAGTAGCAAACTAGGTGGACCATTATTCTATTTGCTTTGCCAGAAGATGCCAAGAATGGCAGAGTTTGAAGTTGAGCTTCGTTTTATGGACCAAGGGAGGTAACTTCTAGGTTACCAATGTTAGATCCAGCTCCATTAGGCTAAGTTCCCTAGAACCAACGATTGTGTCTTCTTTCTTTTTCTATCCCCACCACCTAGAACAGTGTCACACAACAATCACCAAGTATTTGTTGAATAAAAGAGTTAACAACATAATTAAAGGCTATTTTTTTCTTCCTGCCTTTACTATGAAGATTATAATTGTTTCTGTAAAAAATATTTGCATTAGAACCTCATTGACTTGAAGGGAAATGTTCTCTTTTTTTTTACGGGGATTTGAACTTCGATGATAGCTTTTTAAAATATAATAAATATTTTTTGCCCTTCTATGATGCTTTTTAGAAAAGCTTTTACTTCAGAAAATGAAAGCCTGTCTGGAAAGAATGCATATGGTTAACTGCTTTTACAGATAGTATTTCTTGCATTTGATGTTGTTATATATTTGATTGCTCTCTTTAAAGTGCCTTATCAAAATTATGGCTCTGTACTATTACTTTTGGAGCTTTGCAAGTAGTAATTCTAAATCTAAATCTAAAGAAGTTACTTTGTTTTTAATGCATCAAATTTAAATGATGCGATTGTTTTCATATTATTTGACCTTAATGAGAATGTTGTATTTCACTTGTCCTATATCTTAGGTTGCTCGCTCTCTCTTTTTTTTTTTATTTGGTGGTGTGTGTCATGTGTGTCAACCGTTAAAGCCAACTAATTCTCTGCTATATAACTTCTGGACATCTTTGATATGGCATCTTAATTCTTTGTAGATATGGAGATGTGTACAGAACTGTATTCTAAAGCCCAAAATGGGGCTGTGAAAGGGGACAAATGGATGGGCAAAGAATACTTTTGTTTAGTATATTAGGTCATAGTTCTTGATTAATTTTTTTAAGTTAAAGATAACACATATAGTATGTTCCTATACCAAAGAGTTGTGTATTTTGATATAGAAAAATATTTTTATGTCATGAAAATAGCAATTTTTAAAATGTACAAAAATAAATTCTTGTTAAAAGCAAATTTTATTTCCGTTTCTCTGGGTTCATTATTTTTAAGCTTTTTATTGCAGTATTTCAAACATAATAGGAAAGGTGAATGATTTAAAGAACACCCATGTATTTCCACCGTGCAGATTTAAATAATGTTAGCATTTGGCTTTATTTTCTTCAGATCTATATATGTATGTAAATGTTAGATACATTTGAAGCTTGCTTTGTTACCTCTTTGATCCCATCCCCTGTTTCTCTCCTCAGAAGTAACCACTGTCCTAGAGGTGGTGTATATTCTAGTTTGTGTTTTTATATTTTTAAGACATATATATGTTTTCAAAGCACTACAAAATAGTGTTTTGTGTATGTGGTAGCTGGCCTCCAGATGGCCCCAATGGTCTCCTGTCTCCTGGTGTTCATGCCCTTGTATAGTCTCCCACATTGAATAGTGCTGAATTGTGTAACTACCAGGATATTGAGGAAATGCAGTGTGCAATTTCTGAGGCCATACCTTTTGCCCATTTTTCTATTATGTTTTCTCTTTTTCTTACCAATTTGTAGGTATTACATATTTTGAATACTAACTAATGATCTGTTATGTATGTTTCAGCTGTCTTTTGTAGTCTGTGGTTTATCTTTGTATTTGATTATGGCGTCTTCTTTAATAAAGGTTTTTAATTTTAATGTAATTTTAGCAATCTTTCCTAGTGGTTCTTTCTGGGTCTTGTACAGGAAATGTCATAAAGATACTCTCCTATATGTTTTTCTGAAAGTTAAAAAATATTTGCTTTTAAGATTTAAGTGTTTAGTCCACCTGAATTTATTTTTGGTTATGGTGTGGTTTGGGGACCTTTTGTTTGTTTTTGTATGTGTATAGCTGTTCCTCCAAGTACCAATGTTTTAAATGCTGCATCTGTCATTCAGTTACCATATTAATTAATGCCTGGTTCTGAGCTCTCTGTTCTGTTCTTTTGATCTATTTGCTTAACCCCATGCTAAGATTTTCTGTAACTTCCCTTGTTTTAGCTGTATCATGTGATCTGTACTATGATTTTTTATTTTTTTAGATTTTTTTTTTTTTTTTTTGGGAGGAAGATCAGCCCTGAGCTAACATCCATGCCAATCCTCCTCTTTTTGCTGAGGAAGACTGGCCCTGGGCTAACATCCGTGCCCATCTTCCTCCACTTTATGTGGGACGTGGCCTCAGCATGGCCAGAGAAGTGGTGCGTCGGTGCACCCCCGGGGTTCCGAACTCCGGGCCGCCAGCAGCAGAGCACGCGCACTTAGCAGCTACGCCACTGGGCTGGCCCTGTACTATGATTTTTGTGTGTGACTTCCCCCCATCTATATTTTTTTTAAGTTAGAAACGAAAAAACATGTTACTGATTTCTAATTTTATTGAATTATGGTCAGCTTAGGTTAACCCCTGGTTTCAGGCAGTGAGCATTCTGTGGACACTTTTAATTTATTCCTCAGCCCCAAAACTCAGAGCTGCTGGTGTCGAGTCGCTAGGCCCCTAGCTCAGCTCTGCTTAGTTTTTGTTGGCATGTATGGTCCACATAGAAGTTCATCTTATTTTTGAGTGGCTTTTAAAAAAATCATCACTTCTAATATTTCTTTTTGCTCTGCTTCATGGGAGAGGTTGAGGCAGAGCTCAAAGCCTAAACATTTTCTTAAAGACTTAATTGTTTTTTTAACTTAGTAGCTCATTAATCAGCTCTACACAAAACCTCAGAGGACACTTAATATTCTGACTGATGGGAATTTTTAGAAGCCTCAAGAGGCTCAAGTCAGTAAGATGAAATTTGTAGCGTTAAAAATAATGTTTAGTTTCAAAAATTCTGTGTATGAAATATGTGTCAGGCACTATACTAGGAGCTTTATAAACATTAGTTCATGTAACCATATTAGCTCTTTGAAGAAAGTGATATTATTCCCATCTACAGAATAGGAAACAGGCTGAGATGAAATAATTTGCCTGTGGGTCTCGGACACCAAAATTAGTATGCTTGTCTATGCCACACCTAGCTACCTAGCTCTTGGTTAGACTTATTAATATTCAAGTTAATCATTTTATTTACTCTTACCATCTGTGATAGTTTATTTTATGTGTCAACTTGACTGGGCTACAGGGTACCCAGATATTTGGTCAAACATTCTGGGTGTTGCTGTGAGTGTTTTTGGATGAGATTATTAAATCGGCAGATTGAGTAAAGCAGATTGCCCTCTGTAATGTGAGTGGGCCTTGTTCAATCAGTTGAAGGCCTAAATAGAACAAAAGGCTGACCGTCCCTTGAGTAAGAGAGTATCCTGCCTGCTGGCCTTGGAACATTGGCTCTTCCTGCCTGATGACCTGTGAACTGGGATATTGGCTTTTCCTGGTTCTACAGCAACTTCCAGCCTTCAGACTCGAACTGGGACTTCAGCTCTGCAGATTTTGGACTTGTCAGCCTCTATAATCACATGAGCCAATTCCTTATAATAAATATATATATTTCCTTATATATATATATATATGTATATATATGTGTGTGTGTATTGATTCTGTTTCTCTGGAGAACCCTAATACACCAAAAATGGAACTTATTTGTTCATTCAGTCACTCATCATAGATTATTTGTGCTAGTAACTGTAAAATATTAAATCTTTTCCCCTGAGATTAAATTTTTTTGAAAGCTCTAAATACCTATAAAGATCACCTGCGCAAGTTAGAACTGGAGGTACAGGAACTTAGAAGGTTATTGCAGGTATCACGATGAGACATGATGTTGGCCCAAACTAGAGTATTGAGAATTGGGATAAGGAGAAGTGGACACATGTAAGAGATGTTTATTAGATAGAACTGAAAGAGGACTGGTTGGTTTGATATGATGGGTAAGAGAGAGGGAAGAGTCAGAGGATGACACCCAGATTTCTAGGTTAGGCCATTGGTGCCATTCACCAAGACAGGGTCTAGAGGAGACTCAGGTGTCAGTCCAGATTCATACATAAGAATGACATTAACGAGCCAATGAGATAACGGAAGTGGAAATGTCTAGTGGCAGTTGTATGCATAAGTGACCAATTTAGGAGAGAGAACAGGCTAAAGGCAAAAATGTGGGCATCATCAGTATATACACAGTAATTGAACCATGGATGTGGATGAGATTGCCAGTCTATAGATAAGTGAAAGGTTTAAAACACTGAGAGTAAATGAGGCTTCTAGTGAAAGATTTTCTCTTTAAACGAGGAGCACCTTGGTAAAAATTAAATAACTGTGGTTTTGAAATCTCTTACCTAGAGTGGGTCACTCCATCCCATTCAAGTATCAATTCACTTACTACTTAGTTTGTTAAGCAGTAAAATGCGTGGACTTCACAATTCCAGCTGCATATTCCCTTTTCCCCTTTGTTCTTTGCCTTCAACTTTATCAGTGTCTAAATGCTAAAAGCCAATAATTGCTTTGGGAGAGATTATGTACTAGCATGATAAATTAGGAGCTCTTAAACTAAAAATGGTAAAAAATAAAAGTTGAGGTCTTCTTGATATATATATTTTAAATTTTAAAACAACTTTGGCTTGACTTAGAGCATTGATTTGACGTAGAGCGTGGTCCATGAGTTTTGGACCAACATTATATTCGTAAGAGAGATACCTTGATTTGTATCTGGGTTAACTTAGTGCTTTTATTGCACCTTCCATTGAAGCTAGTAGGAACTAGTTATGTGGAATGTTAGTAGTTACTTATCAAATACATTAAATGGAAGTTATTCTATTTGGGGAGGTGGAAGGATGGAGGAGTGAGTGGATAGAGTAGACAGAAAACCAATGGCTTCTAGAAAATCATTTGAAAATATTTTAAATGCTAAAAGATGGTTTCAGATGTATATTTTGTACATTCACTGTATTTCTAAGAACCTTAAGTATAGGTTATGATCATGATTTTTGTAGAATTACATTTTATCTATCCTGTCTTCATGATTACTGCTTTTGTTCTTTTTTAGATACTTTTTAAGAAAAATATTTTCCTATTCTATTATTTAATATTAGTAATGACTTCTTAAAAATAATAAATAATCCTAAAATATTCTTACAAAAGAATTTAAATGTATTTTCATTTTTGTAGCCTTTAAAAAATTATAGTCTAAGTAGTTAGAGACTTGAATATTATAAGCAGAACTATGACTTTCTATTGTTTTCTGAGTTTTGTTGAAAGTATACCACATTCCTCATGTAGAAAACTTATTGGTATCATTCCAAATAAGAACAGAAAGGACTCAAAGCAATCCTATTTTTAATAGAATTAAATTTCAGGTAATTTATTTATAAAAGAAATTTATACAATTATATACTCAATAAATATGTTTTTTGATTCCAGTATTTTCATGTTTCAAATATTTTTGTTGTATTTAAAACTACCTGAAAACATTTTATTCCTGTTTGAAAGTTTCAAATTATGAAAGCAAAAAATTCCAATAGCTAAGTTAGAGACCAGAAGAATAGCTAAAAATGTTAATATCTTGTGAACTGGCCGGCTGTGCAAACAGAAGGTAACTCTGTCTTTTGATGACAACTACTTTCTCTTTAGAGTAAAACGTACACAGAGACCTTTCCTTCCTGAATCAGTGCATTCCAGCTCTTCTTTTTTTTCCTTTTTACCTGCTTTATTGAGATATAATTCACATACCATAAAATTCACCCATCTAAAGTGTACAATTCAATGGCTTTTAGAATAATCACAGAGTTGTTTATCTATCACCACAATCAACATTAGAGCTTTTTTGCCCAAGAAGATACTCTGCTTCTTAGGCATCACCCTCCTAATCCTCCCATCCTCAGTAACCTATAATCTACTTCCTGTCTCTGTGAATTTACTTATTCTAGATATTTCGTATAAGTGGAATCACACAGTATTTGTCCTTCTGTGTGTGGCTTATTTCACATTCATTGTGTTGTAGCATGTGTCAACTTCATTCCTTTTTATGGCTGAATAATATTCCACTGTATGGATATACCACATTTTGTTTATCTGTTTATCAGTTGATGGGCACTTAGGTTGTTTCCATCTTTTGGCTACTGTGAATTATACTGCAATGAGCATTTGAATACAAGTATCTTTTTGAGTCCTGTTTTCTATTCTTTGGGGTTTATACCCAGGAGTGAAATTGCTAGATCATATAGTAATTCTATGATAAGCTTTTGAGGAACCACCAAACTGTTTTCTACAGCAACTGTACCATTTTACATTCCCACCAGCAATATAGAAGGGTTTCAGTCTCCACATTCTTGCCAACACTTATTTTGTTTGTTTGTTTTTTTTAAGTTCCTAGTTGGTATGAGGTATTATCTCATTGTGATTTTAATTTGCATTTTCCTAATGATTAGTGATGTTGAGCATCTTTTCATGTGCTTATTGGCCATTTGTATATCTTCTTTGGAGAAATGTCTATTCAAGTCCTTTGCCTATTTTTTTATTGACTTGCTTATATTTTTTTTATTGAGTTATAGGAGTTCTTTACATATTCTGGGTATTAAACCCTTCTCAGGTACATGATTTCCAAATATTTTCTTCCATTCTGTAGGTTGTCTTTTCACTTTTTTGATAATGTCCTTTGATACACAAAAATTTAATTTAGATCAAGTCCAATTTATCAATTTTTTTCCTTTTGTTGCTCATGCTTTTGTTGTCATATCTAAGAATCCATTGCCAAATTCAAGGTCTTGAAGATTTACCCATATGTTTTCTTCTAAGAGTTTTATGTCTTATGTTTAGGTTGCTGATTCATTTTGAGTTGATTTTCGTATATGGTGTAAGGTATGAGTCCAGCTTCATTATTTTGCATGTGAATATCCAGTTGTGCCAGCATCATTTGTTGAAGACTGTTCTTTCCCATTTGATTGTCATGGCATCTTTGTTGAAAATCAATTGACTGTAAATGTGAGGGTTTTATTTCTGCACTTTCAATTCTATTCCATTGATCTAAATGTCTGTCCTCATTCTAGCTTTTCTGATTCACTCCTTTGCAATACTTGTACCCTCCTTTTCCAGTCCTATATGATGGTGCTCATTGAAAGCAACAAGACAACTGGGCAGGAAGTGACAGAGAAGTGCTGTTTTGAGTTTATGTCAGAGCATCTTTTTTCACGGGAATAAACTGTTGTATTGGCTCTCAAGTGTACGGAGACTTGAAAAGAGGCAAGATGAATTCTGAAAACAGAATATCTGTATTTTGTAAACAATCAGACATTTTCTCTGATGCCATTATATTGAGTATTCCAAAACCTTAAACCTTTATTTAAAAGTGCCAATGATTCTTATGTTTGCTGGTGTGTGTGACAAACAAAGCTGTACCTTAAACTCGGAGCTGCAGATGGACTTTGTATATTTTGTTGTAGTTAAACACAATTTAACATTGCAAATTGAAAAGGTCTATGCTGTCTACTTCCAGGAATTTACCGCAGTGCCATGCACATAGTGGGTACTCAATAAATGCATGGTAAGAGAATGAATGAATCTTTCTGAAGTAGATTTCTCTTAATTTCCTATGCAAAATATGTACTAGTATATACATATACTCAATATAATTTATTTCTTTTATACGAGCATCAGTCACTTTGATTTTTCCCAAATAACCTCATGTCCTTGTAAGCTAATTTATTTTAGCCATTATTATAAATTATTAATTTTGTGGAATTTATATTATACTAATCCATCCTGAAGCATCCCACAGTATTCTCTGTAGAAATGGGTTTCAGAGTCAGTTATGAATAGGAATTGAGTCTTGTTGATTTAGAAATTAGTGACAATTCACAGGGGTCTGTGAAAAGAGCTGGCTTCATTAAGTCAGATGGCGTCTCCTGCAGCGGCCACATTTCCACCCAGATGAACGATGGAGCATATGTTTTCTGACTTTCTTTGCTGTCAATAGATCTTCTTTGTCTGCAGTTATACCAAAACTGATGGATCATTTCTTTGAATGGTCTTGTAGTCAGAGTATAGAGAATTGGGTTTAAAGCACTGTTGATAGGCAGAATAAAAATCACTACCCAAGAGGTTATGGTACCTAGAAGAGAAAAATGAAATAGTTTTAGTGTTTATGGATGTTTATAAGATATAAAAACCCTCTTTTCCTTGTTTCTCCCCCAGCCCCCTTTTGAGTCTTAATTTTTTCCCTTTGATGCCACATAATTAAATACTAAGTCTATATGTGTTTCCAGGATGTCTTGCCAGGGTGCCAGTGTTTGAGGGGTGCCAGTGTTTGGGGGGAGTGCTGGTGCTGCAAAAAAACAGGGTTCTTTGCTAAGTAGCTTTTCTTGAATACATCAACAAAAGTATTCCATTAGGTAGAAATATTTTCCACCAAGTGATTACATATTATTATGATATGATTCAGTTTTAGGGAAAACAATATTGTTTAGTATTTAAATCATATCTTTTCATATGTTCTGATTACTAGATAGTACATATAGCATTTCTCAGAATATACGGACTTATCTTTGATAAATTTCTTTTCTGCTATTTATTTGGTTTTAAAAATAGGTATGCATTTCTAGGCTTTTGACTAGATATTTATTTCAGTAAAAATATCTTTGGCTAACCTTATCTTAAAAATCACTGTAATATATATGCAACTACCAAATATTGAGATTTTTATTATAATTTAATTGATGCTATCTTCCTTCTTTGTTGCTTATAAAATGTCAGATACTATTACCACCAACCATGGGATAAAACAAAATTAAAATTTTATGTTTATAAAATTTTTAAAATGTGAATATATACTATGTTATACATACAGTTTACAGGATTTTGCATATTTTTTATTGTGGTAAAATATACATAACATAAAATTTACAATTTTAACTGTTTTTAGGTGTACAGTTCAGTGGCATTAAGTACATTCACATTGTTGTGCAATCATCACTATCATCCATCTCCAGAACTTTTGCTTCTTCCCAAACTGAAACTCAGTACCTATTAAACAATAACTCTCCATCTCCTCCTCCTCCCAACCCCTGACAACACCATTTGCAGACTTTCTGTCTTTGTGAATTTGACTACTCTAGTTACTTCATATAGGTGGAATCATATAATATTTGTCCTTTTTATTTACCCTGAGCTAACATCTGTTGCCAATCTTCCTCCTTTTGTATGTGTGCCCCCACCACATCATGGCCACTGACAGACAAGTGGCGTAGGTCCATGGCCAGGAACAGAACCCGGGCTGCCAAAGCGGAGGACGCCAAACTTAACCACTAGGCCACTGGAGCTGGCCCCCAATATTTGTCCTTCTGCAACTTGCTTATTTCATTTAGCATAATAGTCTTCAAGGTCCATCCATATTGTAGCATGTATCAGAATTTCCTACCTTTATAAGGCTGAATAATAATCCATTGTGTGTATACAACACATTTTGTTTATCCATTCATCCATTGATGGACACTTGGGTTGTTTCCACCTTTTGGCCGTGGTGAATAATGCTGCAATGAACATGGGTGTACGAATGTCTGTTTGAGTCCCTGCTTTCAATTCTTTTGGGTGTAAATCCAGAAGTGGAATTGCTGGGTCATATGGTAATTTTATGTTTAATTTTTTGAGGAACATCATACTGTTTTCTATAGCAGCTGTGCCATTTTACATTCCCACTAGCGATATACAAGAGTTCCAACTTCTTCACATCCTCACCAATTCTTGCTATTTTCTGTGCTTTTGATAATAGCCATCCAAATGAGTGTGATGCACATTATTTTTAAGTATCAAGAGTGCTTTCTTCTCTCATCTCTCACACTCTGGAGTAATGTTCTCTAAACTGTTGTATATTCCGGGAAGAAAAATTTCTTACGTTTTGAAAAAAGCAAAGTAATTATTTGATAATTGTTTTGACCTGTTTTCCTTTCCGTTCATCTTAAGCATGGCATTACCAGAATTTCAACATATTAAGTGTAATTTATTTGAGTCATTGTTCCTTTGTTCCAACAGTAATTGTGTTTTTAGGCATTTATGGAAAGAACTGAACAGCTTCCTCCCAGTAAACATTTCATTGATGAACAGAGCCTGAAGTTCATTTAACTCTGACTTGTAATTCTTAAAATGAGTTAATGTTATGGATCTTAATTTTCTTTCTTAGAAGAACACCACAGGGACAGATTTATTATTTCTTTACAGAAAGAAAAAAAAAAGCTGTACCTGGTATTTCTACCTGAAGCAATGAAAGAAATTTCAGTATAAAAATGGGTATCCAGCATAATGCGTCGGTAAATACAATAAAGAAAAACCGTTTGGCAAGGATCATCTCTTTTTTAACTTGATTCCGTATTTCAGTTGCTGTTATGGCACTTTGATGAACGCTGTAAAACATGCTTCCATAGGAAAAAACTATGATGATAAATGCCGCCAAGTTAACACCTATTTAGAACACAAAGATTATTATTAATGTATAGGTACATTTTTTCAAAATGAATAAACAAAACATACCCTTAGCTGTTATTATTAAGGAGAAGCTGCAAAGACCATAACATGTTTTTCGTTCTTCATGAGAAATACTAAGGTACACAAAAATAATAAATTTTTAAAAATTTGGGTGTTGTTGAAGTAAGGAGGAATTATGAAATTTTGAATTTAAAATGGCATATTAAAATGAGATTATAGTGATTCAGTGAATATCCTGGGTCTATTAAGTTAATCTTTCTAGTATTATTGTTTTTTTCATAATTCAATTACTTTAAGTTATACATTGAGAATATTTTTTATAAGAGAAAACATTTGTATATCTATTCTCGAGCCAAAGACTTGAGTGGCTCAAAGACTCAAAAACTTTGAGTTTGTTCATCTTATAAAGGCAAAGAGTTAAAATATATTTTGCTTAATATTATTCGGGTGAACGCATGAAATACAAGTGTGTAATGTCTTGTCTTTTATTAAGGTGCATCATGTTGGAATTTATATGATAAAGTGATAATTTAGAAAAAAAAAATCCCTTTAGGGGATTCTGGTAGAATCCACCCCCAGTGTCAATGAGAATAACCAGTTGGAAGAACTGAAATAAAGAATCTGTAAACGTTAGAAGGCACAACGAAATTCATATTGTGATTTATTCTAACATTTGAATGAAAGGGCTTATAATACAGAATTTCTTACCAAGAAAAATTGCCACTGAATAAATCTGGGCTCCAGTACTTTCTGTATCTTCTGAATGAAGAGGGAAACATACTCCGTTGGTGCCATAGTAGTTTTTGAAAAATTCCTTATTGCTCAATGGAATGAAAGCCACTATAAACCCAATAATCCAAATGAGAATCAGAACTGTAATTGTTCTGCATTTTCCAGGTCTTAAACATCTAAAAGGATACACAACGCAGATATATTTTTCCAGTGTCAGAAACGTTAAAAGTAATACTGATACTTCTGTGGACAGAATGGCCAAAGATCCCACAAGCTGACAATGAATACTCTCCATCCACAGCTGTGCATACTTATTGTATTCTCCACGAAACTTTAGGTCAAAGGCTCCAATCACAAATAAATATATTCCCATTAGGCAGTCGGCACCTATAGGGATCAGTAAATTTCACAAATTTAGAGAAATAAATAGGTATAATGAAATTATCAATAAGCAGTATTATTTTTAATATTAGCAAAAATAGCCAAGTTTCTTCTGTCTTGGCGGGAGGTAATTTTTATTCTAAGAATTCATTTATGAGTAAGGACCTCTTCACGAACTCTCCTTGATAACCACTCTTATAGCATCCTCTACAGCTAATTATATAATCATTTCTCCATCATTCTTCCTCTAATATGCAAGTCTATGAGAGCAGGGATCTTGTCTGTTTTGTTTTCCATACTAGTCCCATCATCTAGAAGTGTTGAATAAATGAATAAAATGCAATTATGTTGAGCATTCAATTAGAGACCAAGATGGGGATATTATTATTTGGTTCACCTCTTCTACTGAAATTTTCCCAGCTTAACAAGCTAAGGACATCATCCAAAATCCCAGAGGAAGTAATTCAGAAGTTGCTGTGACAGAGTAATGACTATGAATTTTGAGGTTTATCATTGAGAAGGTATGAATAATTATGAAGTGCTTTGTAGTCAGTACCATTTTGAGGGGCTTGAATTATTTACCCAGAGCTGGCCTAAGCAAACCTGTTCTCTTTGATTCTCTCTTCCCACTTTTACATCTTTTTCTGTTTTTTTTTTTTTTTGTGAGGAGGACCAGCCCTGAGCTAACATCCAATGCCAATCCTCCTCTTTTTTTTTTGCTGAGGAAGACTGGCCCTGGGCTAACATCCATGCCCATCTTCCTCTACTTTATGTGGGATGCCGCCACAGCACGGCTTAACAAGCGGTGCGTCAGTGCACGCCTGGGATCCGAACTGTTGAACCCTGGGCCGACACAGTGGAGTGCTAGCACTTAACCGCTTGCGCCACCGGGCCGGCCCCTCTCTTTCTTTTTAGGCTCTCCCATCCCCCAAATCAGCTATTAATGTGATACACTACTTTGTATACTTGCTTTTTTAAGCAAACATTACATGTTAGAAGGTAGGTGAGATTTTTTGACTGTGCAAGCTTTCTACACAAAGTTTGTAAAATCACAGCACCTTTTAAATCATAAGGCTGACACTGATCCTTGAACACTGGAGTTCTATTCTAGCCATCACCAGGGAAATTGAGCATACTCAAAATTTTGTAGCTAACAATACAAAATAGTAAACAATTTCTGAGTTCTGTTTCTCAGGTGGCTTGCCACGAAAAAAACAGTTAGACATGGATTTTGAATGAGAGTGGGGATAAGACATGGAATAGCATACATAAAAAAGTAGAACATCCTGTGGATTAACGCTTGCTTGAGGAAGTATGGATAAATTACAGGCCACTTGACCCACACTATAAACACCCTGAGGACTGGTTTCTTGCTTATTTTTCTTGGTAGTCCTCATTTATTTATTTATTTATTTATTTATTTATTTTTTATTTATTTTTCCCTCAAAGCCCCAGTAGATAGTTGTATGTCATAGCTGCACATCCTTCTAGTTGCTGTATGTGGGACGCGGCCTCAGCATGGCCGGAGAAGTGGTGCGTCGGTGCGTGCCCGGGATCCGAACCCGGGCCGCCAGCAGTGGAGCGCGCGCACTTAACTGCCGAGCCTCGGGGCCAGGCCATCCTCATTTAATATAATACCTTGCAATCACATTTTAAAAACTTTTGAAAAAATTTAATACTACCTAAAAACATTTTCTTATTTAAATACTTAAAATTATGAATGGAAAAGATTCTAGTAGCTCAGAGACCAGAAAAACAACTATCTGTTAAGTCAATATCTATGAATTGGATCTGTAAACAAAAAAAGTAAATAGAGCTCTAGACATAAAAATGTGATTATGAAAGTTTGCAATTGTATTCATAGTAAAAGATTTTACCTACATAGTAAAAGATTTGCTTTAATAAAATATTATGCCTTCAGAGAAGAAAACTAACAAATGAGAGCTTCATGAGACAAAACTGATGAATGAGAACTTTATTAATCTGTGTAAGGTGATTGAATTTTCTTGTTTTAAAAACTTATTTTCTTTCTTATCACTAAAGTAATTTTATTTTCATTGGAGTGAATTTGAAAACAATATACAAGCAAAAAGGAGAAATTTTAAAAATTTCATAATTCTACCACTCTGTTTAATTATTTTCTAATAGCAATGCTTTTATATATTTCAAAACTATAATTCTTCTTCAACCAGGAAATACTCACAGCAGAGAGAAATGATTGACAAGGCGTGAAGCTTGTTCTCAGACCTGATATAAGGTCTCATACAAATGACAAAGATGTTTCCGAAGCATGTAACTGCAGATACAACCCAGACGAATATTCTCTGAATAATGCTCGCCAAGAGATTCTCTAGGGATGAGATTCCATCAGTGTTTGGTTTACAGCTGCGAACATGTGGTGCATATCCACAATACTGGAATTTCTTAAAATATCTGATGTACAAAGAGAAGGTGAAATAAGATTTTAAATTTAATTATGTCACTATACATTAATATTTATTTTCTACATTTTCTTGTTAGAAAGACAATGTCTTAATAAATGAGACTCAGAGGAATGTCAAACATTAGGGATACTGGAGCTTTAAACTTAAGTTTAATTTTCCTTGACTTGATTTTACTGTGAAAGAATGGGTGAATGAGAGCAGCATACAGGCATAATGAATATACAAGCATTAGACATGTCTTAGTATACAGTCATATGCTGTATATTGAGTTTTCTGTCAACAAGGGACCGCATATATGATGGCGGTCACATCAGATTATAGTGGAGCTGAAAAATTCCTATCAGCTAATGACATTGTAGCCATCATTATGTCGTAGTGCAATGCCTTACTCTGTGTTTGTGGCGATGCTGGTGTAAACAAACCTATTGCACTGCCAGTCATATAAAAGTATAGCAATACAATTATGTACGGTACATATGCTTGATAATGATAATAAACAACTATGTTAGTGGTTTATGTATTTACTATACTATACTTTTTATCATTATTTTGGATCCTTCTACTCATTCTACTTAAAAAAAAAGTTTACTGTGAAGCAGAACACCATGTTATGCCAGCAGCAACCTCATATACCTTGTGTTTACCGCGTCTCTTGATTGCATCATTTTCTCTTGTGCTTGATTTAAGTACACTCTATCATGTTTGCACAAGGACACAATCGCCTAATGACACATTTCTCAGAACATATCCCTGTCATTAAGCAATGCCTGACTGTATAAATAAGCTGTTAGCATGTGCTCAAGAGAATCCATCCAGGGAAACTTTTATTGGTTTTTAGTGTTTGCTATATGTAAATAGACTGTTACATAGCTCCTGATCTTGCTGCAACTGATCTGCTTTTAACCCTCAGGGGAAGAGGAGTTAAGTGCTTTCTCCTCTGTGCTTCCATGGCTTTTCTATTACAGAAGTTATTATGTGATCTGTAACTACCTGCTAACACGCCTACCTCTTACACTAGATTTTGGTACATAATAAGGTGTTCAATAAATATTCGTTGAATGAATTCTTTCATCAATAGAGAGACCCTCCTTGTTGATAAAGACACCACCTGGTTAATCAATAATTACTACTGTGTTACCACCACCACCATTTGTTGAGCATCTTCTAGGTATCAGGAATAAATTCTCAAATAAACTCCATGAGATAGGTATTAGTATCGTCATAGGAGGAGATGAGGCAAATTATTTCCCAAGAAATTTTCTAATAAATGTAGTAATTGAGATTCAAATTAGATCTGTCTGCCTCTAAAGCCATGTATTCTGGCAAAAACTATCAATGATCTTCGTAGTGTAAAAAGCTGTAGTAATACAAGATAAAAGCTCAACAATTACAGGCCTGCCCAGGGGCATAGCGGTTAAGTTCCTGCTCTCTGCTCCTGCGGCCTGGGATTTGCAGGCTCGGATCCCGGGCGTGGACCTACACACCATTTATCAAGCCATGCTGTGGCAGTGTAAAAGAAAGAAAAAAAAAGTTTGACAATTACAGGATAGTGTCCTGTTGATTAACTCTTGCTGCTTAGATGCCTAGATCTGCCATGGTTTCTGCCCAATTCAGATCTGTTCCTTGAGTTATTTCTTGGATTTTGTGAGCTACACCATTTTCTTTCAATAAGCTCTGTTTTGCTTAATTTAGTCAGAGTGTTTTATGTTGTGTGGAACCAAGGAAACTTTTATAAGCATTCTCTCTGAGGAATTATAAAGAACAAAAGCAGAGTGTCCTGTGTTAGACTTAAAGTATCAGCAGGATTATAGAGTGGTGGTGGCTGACATGACACTTTCTAAATTATTGAGAATTAGTTACCCTGGCATGGAGATTATTCTAATACCTGCTATAAGATCACATTCAATTAAAGAAAATGTTTCTAAAGCATGTAATCAATGGTACAGTGAGACACACTGTGTGAATAAAAGATTTTTCAAAGTTCACCATTTTATCCATATACACTTGCTCCAATCATGCCCTGCCCTTGGGGACAATTTTCACTCAGGAGGATTTTTCCTTACTTTCCTCCATTTACAGTAATTATTTATTTATAATTATATTATGTTGCTTATATAAATTCCTACTTCTTCTGGTAACACTTATACCATGTGTATGAATTACTAGCTCATTAGGCAACATCAAAATGTATAAATGCTATCAGAGATGAGGAGAACTTATAGGACTGAGTGGGTTCCCTCCATACTCATGTTCTCTGACATTCAAAAACTCTCCTTTGATTTTACCAAACCATGGAAAACTAAAAATCACCACCCCCCTGCCCAATATCAACACTTTAAGAGTTAGTTATTGTTTAGGTAAATCAGTCAGTAGAAAATGTTAATAGATTGGCTGCATTGGGTATGGATGTATTAGCACAATACGTGTGGAAACATAAAAATTTAAAATCAAGGTGAAGAACAAGAAAAACATCTGCTTACATGTGAGAGAGATTCATAAGAGGTCTAAACATCCTTTGTTGGATATTTGAAATTTCAATTCCTTCTAGGCTGCTAAAAATATCAAATTAATTGTCAAAATAACATATATTATACAGGGTATAATAAAATGAGTTTTTGTGAAGGACAATTTAATAAAATGCTGTTAGTTAACACTTATTCTGAACCAAACATTCGTACTCAGCCTGCCCTAGGTACTTCCTCTGCTTCTTTTTGATTCTGCTATTTATACATATATATCTCTCCTATTTGAATTTTTTGGATCCTCATAGATCATAGCACAATGCTTTGTGCATAGTAACTACTCAATAAATATTTGTGAAATAAATCAACAAGCATTATCCTTTAGCCAATATTACAATAGCAGAGGAGTTTTACATCTTTGAAATTTTTCTAATAACTTTGAAATAACAATTTTTTTTCTAATAAAATGTAATTTTACTGAGGAAACACTTAAATGAACTGAAGCTTATCTTTTTAGGCAATTCTTAGATCCTAAAAGAAATTTGTGTGTGTGTGTGTGTGTGTGTGTGTGTGTGGTGCAAGTAATGATTTATATAATCTATAATATTCCATCTTGGAATAAAGATGGTGGTAATAAATTCTTAGATACCCAGTACTAATTGAGGAATGAATATGCATAGATGGATGTGCACAGAAGATCAAAGCAAACAATGCAATATAAGCTCCTGGTGATTATAGGAAAACATAAAATGATTCATCCTTAACTAATTTTTAGTTTATAAGTATATAAGATAAAACTAATAGCTATCTGTTTGTTTATAGTCCAGTGAGCTCTCATCTTATATGTTTTTGTGGAGCTTAACCCAATACCCCGGGAATAAAGCTTCTTTATAAATAGTAATTTATAGAATTTGAAATATTCTATAAATCTTATTTTATAGAATTTATTAGCTATTAATATATGAATAACAATTTCATCATAAAACTATCCCCACAGGTGTGTACTTACAGAGACTTGAGTTTGACAAGATAATCAAATTGGTTTGTTTGAATTTTCTGGATTGGATTATAGGAAAGATTCCTGTTTTTAAAAAAAGGCAGCAATAGGTCATTTCTAGAAATTGCTTAAGTAAAGAGAAAGCGTATCTGTTGACTTTGTGTTACTTTTAAACATTAACAACAAAAGTACAGCAATACCACTTGCCTCATAGGGTTCATTGGACATTTAAATGAATTAATGGAGATAAAACACTTAGAATAATGCCTGGCTCTTAGTAAGTACTCTATGATTGTGTTAGTGATAGAGAGAGAGCTAAGACGACATGAACATAAAAGGTGGAGTTGTCAAGAAATGACTCCCACCAGAGAAATGACTCCCAGAGTAGTGGTAGGGTATCCAGAGAGAAACCACACCTACTTCACATGCCTAGGAGCAGATGTGGCTTAAACTAAAAAAAAAAAAAATCTCATTTAGTCAAAATTTGAATTAATGGAGTCACATCGAATACTTTTTACAATAAATCTTATGTCAAAGAGTGGCATATGGTACCAGCGATTTATGAGGCATTAAATGAAAAGTAAAAGACTACAGCTAGGAACAAAGAGACATAGATCAGAGTGACAGTACAGCTGAATTTAAATGGAGAAAATTTCAGAATCTATGTAAAACAACACCTTGAAACAAGAATCATTGATTAAAAGGAGCTTCTTAGGGCAATTTCTCTTTTTAAGAAATTTATTCTAGATTAGACCATTAGTTAGGTGGGTGAGGGGGGACCTGTTGGGTGGTGGTAATTACAGAAAGAAGGAAAGAGAGGAAGAATGACAATAAAAAATGAATTGTATAGAAGAAATGAAGTGGACTCAACAGTCTAGAAATAGAAGAAAACTTAACATCATAAAGGCCATACATGAAAGCCCATAGCTAACATCATATTTAATGGTGAAAGGCTGAGAGCTTTTCCTCTAAAATCAATAACAAGACAGGGATGCCTACTTCCACCACTTCTATTCAACATAGTACTGAAAGTCCTAGCCAGAGTGATTAGGCAAGAAAGGAAAATAAAATGCATCCAAATTGGAAAGGCAGAAGTAAAATTATCTCTTTTCACAGTTGACATGATCTTATGTGTAGAAAATCCTAAAGATTTCACACACACACACAAAACTGTTAGAACTAATAAAAAAATTCAGCAAAATTGCCAAATACAAAACCAACAGACAAAAATCAAATGCATTTCTATACACTAACAATGAACAATCTGAAAAGAAAATTAGGAAAACAATTCCATTTAAGGTAGCATCAAAAGAATAAAATAATTAGGAGTAAATTGAATAAACGTGAAAGTCTTGTACTTTGAAAGCAAAATGTTGCTGAAAGAAATTAAAGAAGATACAAATAAATGGAAAGATATTCTGTGTTTATGGATTGGAAGACTTAGTATCATTAAGATGTCAACACTACCCAAAGTAATCCACCGATTCAGTGCAATCTCTATCAAAATCCCAATGATACATTTTTTTGCAGAAATAGAAAAATCTATCTTAAAATTGATACGGAATCTCAAGGGAGTCTGAATAACTAAAACAATCTTGAAAAAGAAGAACAAATTTGGAGGTCTCACACTTCCTGATTTTAAAACTTACTATAAAGCTACAGTAATCAAAACAATGTGGTACTGGTGTAAAGACAGATATGTAGACCAATGGAATAGGAGAGAGAGCCCAGGAATAAATCCTTGTATACATGGTCAAATAATTTTTAACAAAGGTGCCAAGACCATTCAATGGGGAAAGGATAGTCTTTTCAACAAATGGTGCTGGGAAAAACCAGACAGATATCCACATGCAAAAAAATGAACTTAGATCCTTAGCTTACACCATGTACAAAATTGGCTCAAAATGGATCAAAGACTGAAATATAAAAGCTAAAACTATAAAATTGTTAGAAGAAAACATAGGGGAAAAGCTTCATAATGTTGGATTAGTCAATGATTTCTTATATACAACACCAAAAACACAGGCAACAAAAAAAAAAACAGAAAAATTGGACTATATCAAAATTAAAAACTTTTGTGCATTGAAGGACGCTATCAACAGAGTGAAAAGACAACTTAGAAAATATTTGCAAATCATATATCTGAAAAGGATTTAATATCTAAAATATATAAAGAACTCCTACAACTCAACGACAAGAAAACCAAACAACCCAATTAAAAAATGGGCAAAAGACTTGAACAGATGTTCTCCAAGGAAGATATACAAATGGCCAATAAGCCCATGAAAAAGATGCTCAACATCAGTAATCACTAGGGAAATGCAAATCAAAACCACAAGATACCATTTCATATCCGTTAGGATGGCTATTATCAAAACATAGAGGGCCGGCCCCGGGGCTCAGCGGTTAAGTGCGCACACTCTGCTATTGGTGGCCCGGGTTCGGATCCAGGCGCGCACCGATGCACCGCTTCTCCGGCCATGCTGAGGCCGCGTCCCACGTATGGCAACTAGAAGGATGTGCAACTATGACATACAACTATCTACTGGGGCTTTCGGGGAAGAAAAAAAGGAGGAGGATTGGCAATAGATGTTAGCTCAGAGCCGGTCTTCCTCAGCAAAAAGAGGAGGATTGGCATGGATGTTAGCTCAGGGCTGATCTTCCTCACACACACACAAAAAAACATAGAAAATAACAAGTGTTGTTCAAGATGTGAAGAAATGGGAACCCTTATGCACTGCTAGTGGGAATGTAAAATGGTATAGCTGTTATGGAAAACAATATGGTCTTTCCTCACAAAATTAAAAATAGAATTACTGTGTGATCCAGCAATTTTACTTCTGGAACTATATACCAAAAAGAATTGAAAGCAAGGTCTCAAAAAGGTATTTGTACACCTATATTCATAGCAGCATTACTCACAATAGCTAAAAGGTGGAAGCAACCCAAGTGTTCATCAATGGATGAATGGATAGATACAATGTGGTATAGACACAACAATGGATTATTATTTAGAACAATATTATTTCAATCAATTAATTACTAATTATTAATTTAATTAATATTATTATTCAGAATAACAATATTCAGAAATTCTCACACATGCTACAACACGGATGAACCTTGAAGACATTATGCTAAGGGAAATAAGCCAGTTAGAAAAGGACAAAGATTGAATGATTCCACCTATATGGTGTACCTGGAGTAGTCAAATTCATAGAGACAGAACATAGAGTGGTGGATGCTGGTGTGTGTAGGGGTGATGCGGAGTTATTGTTTAATAGGTATGGAGTTTCGGTTTGGGAAGATAAAAAAGTTCTAGAGATGGATGATGGTGATGGTTGCAGAACAACGTGAATGTACTTAATGCTACCGAACTGTACACTTAAAATTGTTAAAATGGTAAATTTTATGTTATGTATATTTATCACAATTTAAAAAATAAAAGAAATGAAAAGATAAATGAAATGACAAAATTAAAATCAGTCTTACAATTGTGAGAGCTTCTGCAGATCCTTAAATACATGTGGTGAAAGATTTTCAATCTTATTACCGCCTAAATCCCTAGAGAAATAAATGTAAACATGTTATTGTCTTAAGATATTATTCATTGTTCTGTAATTTATTAGGAAACTATTACACAACTTTTTAACAATGCTATCAATAAGTTATATTAATTACCAGCAGTCTAAAAGTTTTTAAAAAAGGGAGTGAAATGGGAAAAGATAAAAATATTTTATCCCATTGCATCACTCAGTCAGAGACAAATATTTGATGGTATTGACAAGAGATTTTCGCATATCGAGGTATATGCTGGTAACTTCTGGTTCAAAACTGATTGAACTAAAGCCTTACTTATGGCCTACCAAACATACATTGTACACCTGCTTTAAACATTAAGGAATGCACTCTCTTAAGATAAGAATGAATACTTCCCCATCTACACCCTATTGGTAATGCTCGTATTAGTCCCTTTCTCAACAATAGAATCATGTTGACCTGCTAGTTTGTAACTGAATACCTCTTGGAAACTTTGATGAATATATGTCCTGGGCATGTTTAATGTATGTTCTTTGTTCTAAAAAGGTATAAGACTGTACTGAAAACCATGCTTTCTCCGGAACGCTTTTTTCCTTTGTGGAAACTGTCTTCCCGGGTTATAATCCTCACCTTGGCTCAAATAAAACTCACCTTCTCTCTCTTATCTATAGAATGGTTATTGGTTATTTTGCATAACAGTATTTGATCTGGTTCTAACAGATACAATTTTCTAATTTAATTAGTATGTGTGCTATGCCTCTGTTTCCTTTTCCTTCCTCCCTCCCTTCCTTCTTTCCTTTCTTCCACGTTAGAGTAGGAATATGGTTTGGAGGCTTAATTTTTTCTTTTGCTTGGGTTCATTATGATTTTCAAATGGAAGTGGATTATTTCAGGTGCAAGTTTCTTTCACAGCTGATATACAACAGATCTCATATATTCCCAGGGCAGGATATTTTGTGTGTTACCTTATGTACATATAGAGGTCGGGCTGCCTAGTATGGTATGATCTTGTAGCTTAGTTGTAAGAAGATTTTTGACAGTAGCTGCTATTGTGGTAGCTTTGACAGTGGGAGTTCTCACAAGAAAGGCCTCAGATTCTTCTAAACGCGACAGTGTTTCAGTAGGCTTGAGTTCTCCAGTGTGATCAAGAGATACTAAGAGAAAGCCTAACCACTTTCCCTATCTATCTCCAAATCCTATTAGTTGACACAGGGAGAGGTAGGAGAATAGCTCTATTTGTTATGTAAATTGGAGTGCTTATAAGTCAAAAGTTAAATTATTCAGTTTTGAAGGGCAGGATAGTTTTAAAGATTTTATTTATTTATTTTTTCCCCCAAAGCCCCAGTAGATAGTTGTGTGTCATAGCTGCACATCCTTCTAGTTGCTGTATGTGGGACGCGGCCTCAGCATGGCCGGAGAAGCAGCGTGCTGGTGGGAGCCCGGGATCCGAACTCGGGTCGCCAGCAGCAGAGCGCGCTCACTTAACCACCAAGCCACGGGGCCGGCCCAAAGGGCAGGATAGTTTTAGATTGAGTTTTTTTTTTTTTTTTTTTTTAATTTACTTATTTATTTATTTATTTTTTCCCCAAAGCCCCAGTAGATAGTTGTGTGTCATGGTTGCACACCCTTCTAGTTGCTGCACGTGGGACACGGTCTCAGCATGGCCAGAGAAGCGGCTCCTCGGTGCGCGCTCGGGATCCGCGCCCGGGATCCGAACCCAGGCCACCAGCAGCGGAGTGCGCGCACCCAACCGCTAAGCCACGGGGCCGGCCCAGATTGAGTTTTTAACACTAAAAATAAGTAGCTAATATCTAATCTATGTTATAAATGTCTTTGCTGTAAACGTTTTATTTTCATACTGTAAACTGAACCTTGAGACTTTTTGTTATTTACATATTTATAGAGTGAATTGTCAATGAAGATAGATTGTTCTGATTTGACTACCAAAGGAATCTTTCTAAAATTTCATCCCTTTCTTAAAATCCTTCAATAGCTTACTGTTGCCTAAAAGAAAAAAATCAAAACTGCTTAGCGCAACATAAAAAGTCGTTGAATATCTAAATATCTTGCCACTGTCTATCTTTCCAGCGTCATTTCCTACCACTTTCTACTCAGTCACAATGACTTTCATCATGGGCTGAATGTACCTCAGTATTCTAACCTCCATGTTTTTGCCTGGGTGCTTCTTTCTGCCTGTAATAAGCTTTTCTTCTTGTCCTTCTGGTGAACTTCTTTTTTTTAAAGATTTTATTTATTTATTTTTTCCCCAAAGCCCCAGTAGATAGTTGTATGTCATAGCTGCTTCTAGTTGCTGTATGTGGGATGCAGCCTCAGCATGGCCGGAGAAGCAGTGCATCGGTGCGTGCCCGGGATCCGAACCAGGGCGGCCCGCAGCGGAGCTCACGCACTTAACCGCTAAGCCACGGGGCCGGCCCTCTGGTGAACTTCTATTCGTCCTTCAAGATTCTGCTCAAATGTCACTCCCCTGTGACCAGAGAGGTTAGGTGTTCTCTTGTCTGTTCTCCTACATACTCCTTGTGCACACTTCTATCATGGCACAAAAACACGTACATTATATATAACATTATATGAAAACTGTTTCTGTACATATGTGCTTCCCTTCTGAAGGATGTGAGTTCTTTGAGTACAAGTACTATACCTATTCATCTTGGGCTATCCAGTATCTAGCTTAGTTTTGGACTAGCCATTCTTTCCATCCCCATTAGAAGACTATTAATAGACTGAATCTGTCTACTTCATATTTGGGTAAAAGAGGCAGCACAATTCTAGTTCTTTGTATGGGAAGCCAAGTAAAATACTGATCATATTAGTAAGGCAATGTGAAAAACAGATGTAGAGTAGTCCACTAGGATATTAAAACTCCAAATGTCATGTTCAACAGTTTCTGTTGGGAGTGCTGGTTTCGGCTATTGGAGATAATTCTGACATATAGTTCTTACAGCATGAATCATGTAATGGGATACTGTTGGCCTAGATCCTAAGTGACATGTAAAAGGACCATTTTCTCAGTTTCAGTTTAGGAAAGTTGACCTAGACTTGATTGGACTCGAGGTCCATTTCTGAATTTGCTCGGGAAACACATCATCACCTAGAGTGGTTGACTTGAGAAGCATAAATTAAATCAAGCACGTGGCAAAGATTTTCTGTAACCAGAACTACTTAAAGTCTACTATGACAAGTGAATCCTGCCAATTTATTTGCCCTCATTAACTCTTTTAGTGTGATCAAGCCTGACGGGGCACAGAGTATAGTCCAATCCTCTCTCAAAAGGAGATTCATCCTCTTATTTTAGATCCAGACCCAGCCGTTTAAAACTATAGTCTCCTAGAAACCATGCCCTTTTTATCCTTGTAAATCCGATGTTTCAGGCCAGTGGTTAACATGGGAGTAGGCAGGCTTTAAGCAAAACTAATTATTGGCCTTGGTTACCCTCTCTGCAGCTATTGTTGCTCTTTCCTTTACCCCTGAACCTGGATTAGCACTGGTTACGGGCTAAGCCGTTTGTGTTCCATGTTTACTGCTGGTTACTGATACTTGCATAATACCTGCACCTTACGGCCACCATGGACGTTAGGATTTCGAGGAATTGCCTTCTTATATTCAGAGAGTGGCTGTGAGCATGATAAAACAAGGAAAAGTATGGACCCCTACACTAACTTGTATTGTGATGGCTAGATAATTCCTTTGGATCACCTACATGAACCTTTCCCTACTATTGAGAATAAAACAATTTCCTATATGCTGACAACATGGTTCAATTGCCAGATACCAAGACTTGTTACAACAGATGCTTGGTTCTAATATCTACTGAGATTTTCTTGCACATTTTGTGAATGATTGGTACTGCCTACCAAAAAATGTTTCAGGCTAATGGCTATGGAAAAAAATATTGGCGTTTCAATGGCTTGTTTATTGATATTTTAGAACAGAATGCAGGATTGTTTCCCGAGGAATATTCCTGCTTGTGGCACATGTATTCCCTCCACCTATCTCAGTATGCAGAGAAATATTCTAGTTATATTCTTTAATTTTTATGGAAAAGTTTTAATAAATCAATGGTAAGCCCAGCTAATTGTCAAAACACGTAGATCTGTCCACACTCCATATTCTTTCTAGAAACACAAAATCAAACTAGTTGCTAGCCCAAATTTTAGCAAAAATCCGATTGAGAATTAATACTAAAAAATAAAAAATTGTCTGAAGAACATGCACTTCATCCATTGCTCTACATACTTTTTATTCTGACAATCAGCTACTATGTGCTTGGACCACAAGACTTTGGTTCATCATAGAGTTGTGTTAATGCCCTTTGGAATTGTGTCATTGATCTTAAAAAGGGACATGGTAAGTAGCTGTCTTAACTTCATCTCTCTCTTTCATTATCATAGGTTGGAATGTTACCCAAGGAAGTGTCCAATTTCCTTTTAGATCCAAGACTATCCTTTGGCTTTAGAATCAGCAAAGTGGTGTCTTTTTATCTTATGGTCTCTGAATCCTAACTCTCTAGGAAACTTAAAGACAAATTTGCTGTCTCTCTCTAGCAGTGGGATAGAGTGATGTAGGATTGTCACGACTAGGTGCCTTGAGAAACTCAAAGGTGGGTTCGGAAGCAATTAACTGTTTTTCCAAGTTGTTTTTTTCCTTTTGTGTGTTAAGGAGATGTAACCACCAACCATCCTGAAACTGACCAAGCCTCACCACAAGAGCTATGCCCATGACCTTTGCCTTATTTTTAATGCAAAGATGTCTCCAGGAGGAGCTTAGGCCTCATTATGTGGAAGCATGTTCTCCAACTGAGCCTGCGCAAGCGAATACCCGCCTCTCCCTTTTGAATATTCACTCCCCAACCAAAATAAAAGTTCCTGCTTCTCTTTGTTCTGGGACGCCATGACTTTGGAAATGATTCCCCATGGCCTCCTATTTGCTGCAAATACACTTTACGGGTGTGAGACAACTTCCACTGGTGTAGTCTTATTTACTCACCAGGATGCAAACCCACTTGGTTCGGTAGCAGGATGTATTTTATATATTAATTTACTCTGACTTTTTTCTTTCTCTGCAGCTATATTTCTTTTACCTCACTTTCCTCAAATATTTATTTTATATTTTTTCTTTTATGCATATTTTTGTAAAGCTATCAGAATTCCTTTGTGGCTCAAGGTGTATATAAATAATGCTAGGTAAAGACATAATAAATATTTCTTAAATGTATAAAAGCATCTATGCATAACAAGTATGAACTAAAACAGTAGAAAGCAAATTCTTATCAATATATGTTTAATCAAACTTACAATTCATCTAGTTTCTGGAGAGGTGCAAAAGTATTTTCATTTATGTGATTAATTTTGTTTTTCCTCATTACCCTGAAAGTAAAGGAAAAAATATGTTGTGGCTTCTCGAGGTAACTGATAAATGAGTTATCAGAGAGGAGATTAACAGCCTGCAAAACCAAAGATAATTGTATATAGTGCATTTTTCACATCAAGATATTTTGAAGTTGTATGATAAATTACCCAATCTAATTTTAACCTTAAATTTCCCAAATCTTTTAATGATGATAAAAGTAAAATATTATTCAAATTTTTAAGTGAAATAGAAAAGAGCTCTGCAAGGGAGATAGTGAAAACATCAATTCTTGAGAACATAGACTAAATATCACACAACCGAGAGCACAGGGAGATAGATGTTTTAGAGTTGTCTCTTCAGTCTGCGTAGCATGTCTGTCTAACAAATACTCCTACCATATTACTCAGACACATTTGGTAGTTGATGTGACTTAGAGTGGAGTTGCTTAAGGAAGTCTAAGTTGGATAAATTCAGAAAATTTCTAGTTTGGGATGTTGAATCAGACTTTAACTCTTGACAGTTCATTTCTGCACTGATGTCATGTGTTATGAGCTAGCATAAAGGACTAACTCATAGAAAAGTTTTCAAAGGGTTTCCAATTCTTTAAACATTGTGTGACATGCCTGGAAGTTGGCCTTGTCCCATCCTTAAGTATTTATTTCCTCCCAGCACTCCAAACCGTTACCACCTTTTCCCAGCATCCCTGGACCAGAAAAGCACAAGCTCTTGCCAAGAGGATACTCACAAATGATTTCTTCATACAAAGGTTTCTTTAAAAACAAATACAAGTAGAATAGAAAAGAAGTTCTAAGTTTTCCGGATATCTATTTGGTGTATGTCCTTTAGGTGCAATTTGATTTCCTCTGGCCAATTAGTATGGACTATTTTGCACAAGTGATAACAGAGCAACCTGCAAATGAAGACTGCTGAACTCTCTGCAGAAGAGTTCAGATATTTCAGTGGCTTTGAATCCATTGGAATGGGGAGGCATAATTGGAGAAAAATTATTGTTGTATCCGTGGTAGCTATTGCACTGCCTATACACAGGGGTGCTATGTGTTCTAGTATAATGGTTTTCAAACTTTTCCCGTGGTAACCTACAGTAACAAAAAATGAATTTTACATTGGGACATAAAATACCCCCACACAACCTAAGATTCATGAAACAATACATTTAATTGTCTCAATTGCACTCTGATATTTTTATTCAATTTAACTAAATTCTATTTCATTTAAAATATATTGGTCAGGACATACTACATTGCTTTTATTACCCACTTGTGAGTTGCAGCCCACAGTATGAAATATACTGTTCTGGGAAAATAAACTGTGAATGAGGCAGTTGTATTTTTATATCGAAGGAAGCCCCAGCATCCTTCACTTTCATGGAAGAGGCGATGGGAATTTAAAATAGATCAGAGAGGCATAAAGAGAAATTATACTCAATAACGTTCTAAAGTTTAACCTGGTGTCCACAATTACATACTCAGGGATGTGAACATTCTGCAGTATTTTTTTCTTTCATTTTGATTGTAATTAAATTTTCCCCACAATCTTGACAGTAATAATTTGCAAAGGGCAAACATTCTTACAGATTAAGACTTTAACTTAGTGTTTCTCAAACTGAGATCCAAGGACTGATTCTAAGGGGTCTATGAGAATTTCTTTCCATTAAAATGGATATTACTTAAGTTTGAGAAAAACAGGTCTTAGATAATACAGTGCCATTGTGATGACTGATGTATGTTGTGAATCTATGGTCACCCTTAGTTTGAACTTCAATAATTTTGCCCATGTGCTTCGGTTTCAATAAACTTTAAGAGTGAACACTTGCCATAATTACTATGCATGTTTATGCTAGCTTTTGTTCACTTAAATGATCCATTTTGTTTGTAAAGACGTATAACATTATTTAAAAAGGACAAAACATTACTTACAAAACAGTTAAATTACTGCAGGAAATAAAAGTCAAATTTCTTAAATTGTGAATACGGTTGCCTTCAAAGTCCCTGAAACATAAAAATAAAAGATAATAAGGCTAAATTTTACTTAAAGACAGAAATAAATTGGTTGAGAACTATTTGCTTTCTAATAAAATCTTTTTTCACGTACTGTTTATTTCGTGCAGATTCTTACAAGTAGCTGCATACATAATAGCTGGAATAAGATATATGTAATATTTCTTTTTCTGTGTTAATAGTAAAAATATTTTGAGTCACATCTGTATCATGTGTTCACGGGGGAACGTATGTTACCCTGAGAAATGTGAAGAGAATGAGAAGCCAAATCGAAAACCTTTGCTATGGTAAATACCGACTTTACTAACAGATATTTACTAGTGAACTGTATTGAGCAGCTGTCCAGGCATTTCTCTAAGTGGTGGGATCCTATTTTGCTACAGCCTGCAGAAGATTCTATTATTGCTGCAGAAGCTGCTGCTCCCAAATCAATATTTAGCATCTACCTCCCTCGCCTAAACCCTCCCCAGAAAAAATTCTCAATAGCCTTTTACCACTGAGAACACCCCTGTGTGCTTTATTATATTGCCACATAGGCCAGTGCAGAGGGAGACCCACAGGCTGTCCTTGGCTTTCCACTCCCAATTCAGGGAGCTGCTTATAGACCCTACTTGAGCTCCCCTGCTGTATGGCACTACGTGGTCATCAATAGAAGTCTGGACCGAGCAGCAAAATTTGTCAGAAAATTTATGTTTTATTGTCTTCTTCGTGGTTATCATGAAGGTGTTCTTTTATTGTCTCTCTTTTATCGCTAGGTTTACAGTGGAAGTTTATAGAACAGAGAGTTAGCTGAGGTTAGGAATATACTTTCAAAAGTAAATGCTGGGGGCCGGCCCGGTGATGCAAGCGGTTAAGTGCGCGCGCTCCGCTGCAGCAGCCCGGGGTTCGCCGGTTCAGATCCAGGACACGCACTGATACATTGCTTGGCAAGCCATGCTGTGGTGGCGTCCTATATAAAGTGGAGGAAGATGGACACGGATGTTAGCCCAGGGCCAGTCTTCCTCAGCAAAAAAAAAAAGAGGAGGATTGGCAGATGTTAGCACAGGGCTGATCCCCTCACACACACACACAAAAATAAATAAATAAAAGAGAAATAAAAACATAAAAAAAAAAAAAGTAAATGCTGGTCCTTAAATCTACTCAAGCTACCCCAACACTTAGATTACTGGTCACCATATAACATATAGCTATTCAGGAATAATCACAACTAAAATATATGAGCTGAAGTGTGAAATGGCTACTAAAATCTGTAAGGGAAACATAGGTAGCGTTAATAGAAGTGCCTATATTCTGCTGGCTAGTCTACATCTGAGATAGTCAGTTTGATTTTTGGCACTGCAATAAAAATAGACGTTGACAAATCAAAGTATATCTGGAAAATCTGGATGTAAGGGGTCTAGAAATCAAGTCAGTTGAAGAAAAGTATGTATTTATAATAGAGAAGAGCAAAATAAGAGAGAGATATTTGAAGTCAGGCTGTAGAAGCTATCATAGGGTTTTTCTAGGTTGCATCAGACTGCAAAATTAGATTTACTGGTTGAAGGACACAAAACATTTCAAATTTAAGCTCACAATCTATGGTGTTCAAAGAATAAGGCTTTCATCACTATAGATATTTAGCAGAGGCAATATACCATAACTCAAGGATTTTGTAAACAAGATTTCTGTACTATACGGAATATTATATTAAAATCTTAAATCTTGATTCTAGAGCACCCTTCTAAAGTAAAATTTCTATTATTCTATTAAATGGGAAACTAAACCCTTATAGTACCACTTTTTTTGGTCATTAGTTTTGGCCAAGGCTTTTGACCTCTCGTGATGTAGGTTGTCAATGACCGAGACTGTGCATTTCTTGCTCTTACCATGCATCTACCACCAGGTGGTGATGCTCTCTTAAGCCTCACAAAATATCCTCAGGTGAGTTGATGTTCTGTTAGTTGTTCTTTTTTTTATTAGCTACTTATGTAACTTTTTTTCTCTACTAAGCTAGCAAAAATATTTGCTAGTATTAATTTATTAATTTGTAAAAATCAGTAAGAGGCACACATCAAGGCGTAAATTAGGGACTTTCAGTTAAATTGTTAGTTTTGTTTAATTTTAATTTATTTTAACCTTAAGTTGTAACTTTGCTTAGGCTTTCTTCCTAAAATAAGAGGTTTTATTCCTTGATACGCAGGAATATCACAGGGATCTGGCGTGAAGCATACATATTATTAGCTGAGGCATACAAATTTCCTTCTTGTTCTGTAGCTCCGAGCCCTAAGGGAGCCGACAAGGGGTGTTTTTCTTACTTCAAGTCTAGACCACTTTTCCAACTTAATGAGCCTGTGAACCTAATCATTTATTTTTCTCTTCATACATGGCAGAACTGCTGAAAATGAAAATTTCATTCTTTGATTTGAAGAACAACAATAACAAAAAATAAAATGCCAATAATCTTGCCTGTTCCTTCTCAACTTCCTCTCTTGTCCCCTAGTGGTATTCCAACTATGCAAACCTCCTCAGCCACTACACCCTCCCCTACCTTTTGAACATTTCTGGCTTCTATTGTACAGAGAAAATTGAGGCGATCAAGGAAGGAAAAGCCCTTGGCTTTCTGCCCAACATCTATAAACTTACCTGTATGTGTACCTGGTCTCCTTCTAGTCACAGAGGAAGAGATGACACTTCTCCTGCTTTAGGCTAATCCCTCCATCTGTTTTCTTGAGTTTGGTTTGTGTATGTGTATGTCCTAAAATATATGGTCAATTTCGGTGAATGTTCTTCGGGCGTTCTTTGTTTTCAGGTTTATATCCATTAGGATTAGGTGCAGGTACATATAACAGAGACCCAACTGTAACAGCATAACGACACAAGGATTTTTTTTTTGCAAGAAAAAAATATCTACAGTTAGGTAGTCCAGGGTAGTACGGCAGCTTTACAAAGTTGTTAGGAACCCAAGATCGTTCATATTCACCGTTCACACGTCCTTGTCTTCATGCTCCGAGACGATGCTAGAGCTCAGCCATCATATCCATTTTTTCTGGATAAGGAAGAAAAGGAACGATCTGCCTTTTTCTCTTTAAGGAGATTTCTCAGAAGTTCCACACTATACTTCTTCTTCCACCTCATTACTTAGAGCTTAGTTGTGTGGCTATATCTATATGCAGGGAAGTCTGGGAATGTAGTATTTTAGCTGGGCACATTGCTGTCCCAAATAAATCAGTTCTGTTATTGAGAAGGGACATGGCAGTTTGACATACATCAGAGTTAACATTAATTATGTTATTTAGTTCTCCATATCTTTTTTTCATTTTACTTGATCTTTCATGGACTGAGAGAGGTGGATTATTATCTTTTATTGCTTACGTATATTTTTCCTTTTGTTTTTGCGCTATATGAATCTATTTGGTACATATATACTCATAATGTAATATCTTTATTGGAAATTGCACACTAATAGCATTTAAATGTTCTTTGTGTTTTTTAATGCAAATTGCCCAGAATTCTACCTACTTAGATTAAAAAATATGATGCTTGCTTTTTTTTTGTTTGCACCTACATGCATACTTTTGACCAGCCTTTCATTTTTAATCTTTCTTAACCACTTATTTATAGTTATGTATTTTTTGTAAATAGTACTGAGTTAGGTTTTGCCTTGTGAGCTAATTTGAAAATCTTTTTTTTTTTTCATAAGTAAGTTTAGCCCACTTATGTTTATTGATGTGACAAATATATCTGACCTTAGTCTGCTATTTAGAAATATTATTGTATGGTTTTATAGGTTAAAAAAACTTTCAACAAATGTTTTTTAAAATTTATTTCTTCTAATATTTAGAAAAGTTTGTACGTTCTATTTGTTACCTTTATAAAGCTTTACACAATACACTAGATCTTTTCTCTTTCTTGGAGAATAACCATACTTATTAATATCCTATTATAAGAAATGATGAAATTAGTACATATTGTCTTCTTTTCTGCTCTTCTACCTCTCTGCCACCATATGATTTTGATCAATTACGTGCTTTTTAATAATGTTCACCTTAGGAATGTCAAATATCCATATATTGGTGGATTTGTTGGTTTTAGACGTCATCTCTTGACTCCTAGCTGTTTTTCTTTATAGTTCAATGGTTTTCACTTTATGCATTTTGAAACTCCTTACTCGTTTAAGATTATTATGTCTTCTTGCTGAATTGACCCCTTCATCGTTATGTGATACCTCTCTTTATCCCTAGTGATAGTCTCTATTCTGAAGTCTATTTTTTCCAATATTAACAGAGCCCCTTAAGCTTTTTTAAAAAAATTAGTGTTGCATTTCTTATCTTTGCTTTACAGTATGTAATATCTCTATTTTCTCTGGTTGCCTTAAGGTTTTTTTTTCTATCTTTGGTTTTCAGCAGTTTGACTATGATTTGTGTTTTTTTTTTTCTACTTCTGCTTGCGTTTTTCTGAGGTTCTTAGATTTCTGATTTGTTGTGCTATATTAATTTTGGAAAATTCTTGGCCATTATCCCTTCATATATTTCTTCTGTCCTCTTCTCCCGCTGGTCTTTTTCTGTGATTCCACTTACACATGTGTTAGACAATTATACGTTATCTTGCAACTTTTAGATTCTCTATTCTGTCTTTCTTTTGATCTCCTTTCTCTTTTTGATTCAAATTGAAAGCTTTCTATTGACCCATCTTTTTTTTTTTTTTTTTTGTGAGAAAGATCAGCCCTGAGCTAACATCCATGCTAATCCTCCTCTTTTGCCGAGGAAGACCGGCTCTGAGCTAACATCTATTGCCAATCCTCCTCCTTTTTTTTTTCCCTCAAAGCCCCAGTAGATAGTTGTATGTTGTAGTTGCACATCCTTCTAGTTGCTGTATATGGGATGCGGCCTCAGCATGGCCGGAGAAGCGGTGCATCGGTGTGCGACCGGGATCCGAACCCGGGCCACCAGTAGCGGAGCATGAGCACTTAACCGCTAAGCCACGGGGCCGCCCCTATTGACCCATCTTCAAGGTCATTGATTCTTTCCTCCGCTGTGTTCTGCCTGCTGCTAAGACTCTTGAAGCAATTCTTTGATTCTCTTTAACAGTTCCATCTCTGCTGACATTTCCCACAAGTCCTTGCATACTGTCCACCTTTTCCATGATATCATTCAACTTATTAATTGTAAGTATTTTAATTTCCCTGCTTGGTAATTGTAACATGTGGGTTATCTCTGGGTCTGGTTCTGTTGATTGCTTTGTCATTTGACAACGGATTTTTTTCTTGCTCTTTCAGGGGTGGGGATTTTTCTGTGTTTTGTCTCCCTTGCCCCAGAAGCCAAACTCTCATGACAGTTTCTTGCCCCAACCCAAGTGAGCACTAGCCCCTGCTGGTAACAGTGCAGATCCTGGGCTGGAGAGGTTTTTCTGCCCCTACCCCTGGAGCAGAGTGCTTTTGCTTCTACCTTTCCTTTGGAAGCAGTGGCTCTATGCCTGGTCCCTGGGTGCGGGAGGATTTCCTATCACTCTCCCAGTGGCTTGAAGCTTCTGCTTCATAAGAGGAAAAAGCCTAGGGAAGAAGGTGGGGTTTCGTGTCTGTGCATCATCAAGGAGGACTCTCTCTGCTTTCCTTACCTGCTCCCAGTTTTTCTTGTGAGCTGGTGGAGGCCAGTGGAAAAGAGCTGATTCCTCTGAGCACGGGGTTCCCAGTTATTCTAAAGTGTTACATTAGCTCACACTTAACCTTTATAAGTTTATTAAAATTTTAGCAGTTTTCTTCGTACCTGTTCCGTGACAGCCAACTCTTCACCCTGTGCTCTGCCAAAGTGAAATATTGTACATGTCTCATCTCTTGTGGTCACTCCTTAGAATTCCATTTACTTGGTTGCCTTATGACTGTAGCTCTTGGATGGGCTTGAGAATGAAAATTATGATTTTGTGGATTATACAGTTCTTTCTCATTGGTAGAGAGAGAGCAGTATCGTCTTGTGGCTTCCTGTAGCCTAAGCACGATATTGTTGGAATGGAAGTGTAATATATGTACTCTTCTGTGACTTTTTCTTTATACTTTATATTATGTTCTTGAAATTGAGCCATGTTGATTGAAGTAGGGCTAGTTCATTCATTTTCACTGCTGTGTGTGTGTAACACATTTTATTTTCCTGTAGTTTTTATGTCTTCCAGTATCTTGCTCCACAATGTATCCTCATTGTCTACTAGTAAATATTTTCAGATTCTTCATATTAGCTTCTTCTGCTCATATATGAACTTGCTTGGTCTCATCTCAGGATAAAAGTTTGCTCTCTTGATCTTTAGTTCACTTTTGGCTGTTGCCCCATCTGTTCATACGCTTATGTATTACTTATATTTCTTCCTTTTTAAATTTCCCAACTTTTATTGTGGTGTTCATAGTTTTTTTACTGCTTTGAAAGAACTATATTAAAGGTTTTAATCTGTTGTCTGTCATATATCTTGCAAGCTTATTATCCTGGGCTGTCATATGTCTTTTTATTTTATGTGTATTTTTCCATTAAATCAGAGTTAAAATTTTTCTTTTGCCAACACGTCTATTGAATTTTCTAGTTTACACTTGCTAAATGAAAGTTCATGTGCAAGGTAAAGATATTATAATTAGATATTATAATTTAAAAGAAATGAATACTTATAAAGCAAAAATTATTATTACTGGCATTAAAATTGGGATAACATTCACTATCAGGAATACACATGGAATGAGTTGTTTTGGATAGCTAAAATTTAAAGGTGATAATTTTAGTAATAAAAATTTAAAAAGTCCACCTCTTTAGTAATGAATCTTAATCATTTTTATTTTTATATGAAATGTATATTTGGCTGCCTTTTTAAAAGCAAAGGAAAGGTTTATTATTGTATGTGCATAATGTCTCCCACATTTGCTTCTAGCCTCAATGCATGAATTTTTAAATTGCTAATTTACTTATGTAAATATTGATCAATTTTGCTTTATTACTAAGTTTGGATTACTGAGCATGTAATAATTGTTAATGTATTCATTTGAACCAAAATTTTTTTTTTTTTTTTTTAAAGATTTTATTTATTCAGCTTTTTCCCCCCAAAGCCCCAGTAGACAGTTGTATGTCATAGGTTCACATCCTTCTAGTTGCTGTACGCGGGACTCGGCCTCGCATTGGACAGAGAAGTGGTGCCTCCGGGTGCTCCCGGGATCCGAACCCGGGCCGCCAGCATCAGAGCGCGCGCACTTAACCACCAAGCCACAGAGCCGGCCCTGAACCAAAATTTAATTACAACAAATGATATTGAACTTAATTTTCCCCTTTCCTTAATGACTTTAGCTTATCATCAGCGAGGGTACTGTACTGTCATACCAAGATGCTCTCTGGATTGGGTAATGATTTTGGGATGTTTGTCTTCCCCTAAATGGTTCCAAACTAGTATGTTTTGATTTACTATGTCTGTTTTTTATAGCACTTCTTACTTCTGCTTTATTATCAGGTTGATATTTACCACTTCTCACTAAAATTAATGTTTCTGACTCTTAACTTTCTCCCCTACTTTTAATTTTGGTACTTTTAATCTGCTGTGAGCCAGAAATTAAACAATAAGACTTTTGAAAATTTCCTACAAAATAAGAGACAGAGGGAGTTTTCATATGCTACTGTATATGTAGTTTATTGATTAAACTTTTTATTAGCTATTTAGGTTATTTATTTCTTCATTTTTGCCTGTATTTTAAATAGGCAAATTTACTGCATAATTGAGTTCTGAATAGGTACAGTGATACTTATTACCACAAGCAAAGCTTGTGTGTAGCAAATTCCATGGAACATATGCTATTGTGACTACACTTTAAAAATAAATTCTAAATATATTCTCATTACGCAGAATTTAGGAATGAAACTAAAGTGACTTAGTTGTTCTATAACAAATTAATCAGTGAATAGATCAACAGGGAGCAGGGGGAGAAGTTATATAGATACTATGACATCCCTTTGTCTTCCTTCTTCCTGCCTCCAAAGTATCTTTTTTTGAGATGTTTTATTTTGTTGAGAATTTAAAGGAGTTAGTTTAGATAATAGGGATATTTAATAACAAAATCATGCTAAAGTAATTTGAGGAAATAGGATCTGATATTAACAACCTGTCACTAAAAAAAACCTAATATCCAAAATGAACTAGGCAAAAGCAGAAAAGTTAGTTGACTTCTTTAAAAAAAGATACAGCAACTTACAGCCAATGCAGTCTTGGCATGTGCTGACAAAGAGGTTTATCTGGCAAATGGGTGAGGACATTATTCATCAGCGCTCTAAAAAAGAAAAGAAACAAAAGAAGGCACATTTTTCTGGTTCTTTTCTCAATTTAAGTCAAACATGGTATTATCAATATTCTTATAAAACCACAAAAATTTATTGTTAGTTGTCTTCTTTCTCTAATTTTTATATTTTTAAATTTCTAATTTTTTCTGTAAGTCTTGTTATATTTAAGTGATTGTTAGTATTAAAATTCAACAAATGAGGGGCCGGCCCACTGGCGCAAGCGGTTAGGTGTGCACACTCTGCTGCGGCGGCCCGGGGTCCGCCGGTTCGGATCCCGGGCGCGCACCGACGCACTGCTTGGCAAGCCATGCTGTGGCGGCGTCCCATATAAAGTGGAGGAAGATGGCACGGATGTTAGCCCAGGGCCAGTCTTCCTCAGCAAAAAAAGAGGAGGATTGGCAGATGTTAGCACAGGGCTGATCTCCCCACAAAAAAAAATAAATAAATAAATAAAAAAATTCAACAAATGATAGCCAACATACGGAGGGAGCAGTAATGCCAGTAATTGAAAAAAAGCCTGTGCCATTTAATAGTGGGTGATTAGTGAAATAGTGAAAAGGAGGTGATTTTAAATGAATGTTATTTTTCTTTACCAAGATTAATCTACAGTGGGAATGGTGTGCTTAAGAATATTTCAATAAGATACGATAGTGTGGCTGTATTCCGTTTTGATGGTCTGACATTCTAGAAGACAAAAGACCTTATGAAATTGTTAGAACTACAAAATAGCCTCATAGATTATGATTAAGAGATAGTTTTTAGTTGAAAAGGCCTTTTTAGAGTTTTAACAATTCCAAATTTAATACTGTTAAACTGAAAGCAGTAATTTTGTATTCATGTCTTTTCCTTCAATTGAAATATTTGCTTTAATTTGTAGTACTTACAAGAGAATAAGAGAATTCAGTCCATAAAATGTTAGTGGAGAAATTCGACTGAGGTGATTATCTTCAATTATCCTGCCAGCCAGAAGAAAAACATTGATTCACTTCTATAATTTTAGAAAATAAAAAGTAATATTATAAAATGCCACATAAATTAAACATACAGCCATTCTAGTCTGTGGAGATCTTCAAAAACACCCGGCTTCAAGAAGGTTATTCTGTTATGACTGAGATACCTGAAAAAGGAGGAAGGACTACAATAAATTTGTTCCTTCTAGATCTCTTACAATAAGGAAAGGAAAGGCAATAAGCATCCATCTTAAACTTTCTTATATACTATTCTCGTCATGCCATTTCCCTGCCTTTGGATCTCCGAAAGTTCTTTATCACTTACCTTTTCATGTCTAGCTTTTAATTTCCCCTTAATTAATTAATTAATCACTCTATTTATTAATTCATTTGTTCATTTATTCATCAAATTGTTTTGAGTACCTACCCAATGCGCTGTGCTAGGTGTATCATCCCTTCTTTGAGGGGTTTTGAGTCTAGAAGGAAGACAGCACATGAACAGGGTATTACAGCAACATAGGGAGAAGAAAGAAGTGTATAATGCATGGCCGCTCTGACACTGCAGAGGAGGAAGCAGCTGGCTTTGCTGGGAGTGGGGACTGCAGAGTATGAGGGAGCGGGGAGGAGGCACAGTTTAGAAGAGTCATGGATGAAGACGTCATTCACAAAGCAAAGTATCGGTAGGAGCTATACTAGGCGGAGGAGATCGCTTATACAAAAGCAAGGAGGATAAGAGAGAGTAACAAGTTAAGGGATCACCAGAAAATTCAGTGCAACCTCACCATGAAGGGGCTGTAAGGAGAGACAGGAGATGAACCTGGGGGGCAGGTAGGGGCTTCTTCTGGAAAAAAAGACATTGCATGCCTTGCTAAAGAGTGTAACCCCATCTTACCTACCCAAGTTGACTTACTCATCGGCAGAGTGAACCAACTCTCTGTTCTTCTATGTAGATCTCCTCCTCTTGCCATGTTTATTCCTATATCTCAGTCTCTTTAGTGCAGCAATTCACTGCTCTGACTCTGTCAGTCAGTTTGATTCCTAGCTTTACTACTTGTTAATGGTATGACCTTAAGCAAGCAATTAACTCTGAAAGCTTTAGTTCCCCCAACTCTAAAATGGAGATAATATTAGTACTTAGTTTATTGAGTTGTTGTAATATTTCAGGCAATGTATGTCATAGGCACTCAGTGCATATTATTTATTGTAACAATATCTCTGTTCGTGCCTCTCACTCCAATTTCTTTCCTCTTCTTTTTCCTCTCTGCCTATGATTCATATGCAAGAATTAGTCCAAATTTTACTTCCACTGATACATGGACCACACTGATTTCTCTCTTTTCTTTAGTCTGACAGATCTTAGAGCTGACATCCTGTAAAATTTCTCCTGCTAGGAATCTTCCCTTCCCTGGAAGGTTTGACTTTTGCTTAGGGGTAGCAAGGGATGATGCCCCATATTAGAGCCACTTCCTTCCCTCCCTTGCACACCTGGAGCCCCAGTTGGGCACAGGAAGAGGTAAAGAATAGCTTCAAAACACCCCTGAACACTTCAGGGGCTCCCTTAAAAGCCAGTAGAAATCCCCCAGGTAAAGGCATTTGATTCACCCCTGTACCCTATGCTCATCTTTTAGCCAGTCTTCTTTATTTTTCAGAGCCATCTTTCACTGCTCTGGATCCAAAATAGTCACTCCTTCCAGTGAATCATAATAGCAGTTGTGGTCTGAACAACATAGGTTTAGGTCTTAATTGAGTAATCTCTTTTATCGTTCTCTAATTGTGTTTTGACATTGTTTCCACACCATAGAACATAAGCTTCTGGAGAGCAAGAGGCATACCTCTCCCCAGTGGTAGCACAGTGCTCCACCTGAAATACTAAGGTGTAAGCTGCTGGAAGGCAGCATGTCTGACTTATCTTTCTATGCCCCCCATGGTGTCTAGCTGAAGAACTTGCATACTGTGAGGGTTAATGAATATTTATGGACAAAGGAAGAGTAGTTATCTAATGGTTATCTGTGAAAAACCAGAAGTATGTGACATCTTTAACACCTAAACAACATTCCAGTGCTAGGAAAAAACCATAGAACCAGATGGAAGACACTTTTAAATTTACTCCCCAGTTCTGTACTATCTTTCAAGAGCTTCCTCCACATCCATTGAACATTAAACCAAGCAGATACTCTTTAGTAAGTTTTGAATAGATTCATGCAGGGTTGGAGAGAAAGATAGTTGGGAGCCTGACAAGAATGAGTCCAATATTAACTTTGAGTAGATTCCTAAGACACAAAAGAGCAGGGATGGGTTAGAAGGAAAGAGGACCTGGCTAAAATGGTTACTGTTAAGACTTTGAGTCTCCAGTAGCCTTCTTCCATTTTGCTAGCAAATGATTAGGTGGCCTTCTTGACTCAATCCCAAATTCTGATTCCGCCAGCTAGGAATCTGACCGGAAAGAGTTTCTTGGGTTAAGGATAAAAAGTGGGGTAGGATAGAAAGCAAGAGGGCAGAAAAGGAAATACAGGAAGTTGTTTACTTATGTGATTTTTGGTTAGATTTCCATTCAATAACTTCTTCTAGGAGGTAAGGTCTAGCTGCTTGGTAGAACTCAATGAAATGGAGCTTTAAGAAAGACTATTTTAAAGATTTTATTTATTTATTTTTTCCCCCCAAAGCCCAGTAGATAGTTGTACGTCATAGCTGCACATTCTTCTAGTTGCTGTATGTGGGACGCGGCCTCAGCATGACCAGAGAAGCGGTGTGTCGGTGCGCAGCCGGGATCCGAACCCGGGCCGCCAGCAGCAGAGCGCACGCACTTAACCACTAAGCCACGGGGCCGGCCCGAGAAAGACTATTTTAAAAAGCTTTGTTCTTAACCAAATGAGATACCACTTCACACCTATAAGGATGGCTGTTATAAAACAAAACAAAACTACACATAACAAAACAACAAACCCCAGAAAATACCAAGAGTTGATGAGGATGTGGAGGAATTGGAACCCTTGTGCATTACTGGTGGGAATATAAAATGATGCAGATGTGGTGGAAAACAGTACGGTGCTTCCTCAAAAAAGTCAAACATAGAATTGTCATATGACCCAGCAATTCCACTTCTGCAAATATACCCAAAAGAATTGAATGTAAAGACTCAAACATATATCTGTATACCAATGTTCAGAGCAGCATTATTCACAATAGCCAAAAGGTGGACACAATTTAAATGTCCATTGATGGATGAATGGATAAACAAAATGTGGTATATACACACAACGGAATATTTTTCAGCCTTAAAAAGGAAGGAAGTTCTAACATATGCTACAACATTGATGAATGTTGAATACATTATGCTAAGTGAGATAAGCCTGACACAAAAGGGCAAATATTTTATGATTCTACTTATATGAGTTACCTAGAGTAGTCAGATTCATAGACACAGAGAGTAGAACGGTGGTTGTCGGGTAGAGGAGAGGGGAAGGGGAATTAGTGTTTAACGGGTAATGAAGTCTTAGTTGGGGAAGATGAAAAAGTTCTGGAGATGGACAGTTGCACAATAATATGGATGTACTGAATGCTGCTAAACTATATACTTAAAAATGTTTAAAATGGTAAATTTTGTTATATATATTTTACCACAATAAAAAAGGGCTTTGTTCTTTAAAACTTATAGTGCCTTGTATATTCGTAAAAGCAGAATTAGTGGAAAGAGAATAACTAGGGAAGTCTTTGGATTTTCTCCTTCATAAATTTTAATGATATCAGATTTTCTTATTTTGATGAAGTTCATTCCACCATCATTCCTGTCACCATGGCTAATGGATAGTGAGTTCTTACTGTGTGCCAGGCACAGTGTGCCTATTCTTCCCATGGATTTTCTCATTTGTTTCTTACAACAACCCTGACGTAGGTACTGTTATAGTTTGTAATTTATAGTAGAGGGAATTGATGCTTAGAAAGAAAAATAAATTGCTTAAGTTCGCACACCTAGCGAGTGGTGGAGTCGGGACTCAGACTGAGGCCTGTCTGGCTCAGAATCCCGCGCACTTGGCACAATGCTCTCATACTGCACCTTCAGTCTACACATCTTCTAGGCACCGATGTGAATGGGAGGGCTGGTGTGGAGTGAAATGTATCAGGCTGACAGGCCACCGTGAAACAGGCAAATTAATTGGCACTGGTACTTACAGTTTAGTAAGACTGTACAGTCCTCTGAAAGCATAGATGGGTATGGATCTAATCTTATTGTTTTGCAGGCACCTGTGAAAATGATTATTAAAAGGAAAACGTAGTGAAAAAGAGTTTCAGTTTCGCAAGATGAACAGGGTTCTGTGGATGGATGGTGGTGATGGTTGTGCAAGAATGTGAATGTACTTAATGCCTCTGAGTGTATGCTTAAAAATGGTTAAGTGGTACATTTCATGTCATGTGTATTTTACCACAATTAAAAAAAATTTTTAAATTAAAAAAGGTAAACATAAAATAATTTAGTGACGCTGGATATCATGTCATTTTGTTTGGCTGTTAAATTCATGTAGGATTAGGCTAGTTTTTGTTTAGAAATTCTAGTTATAAAGGTGAACATATAATAGCTAAAATTTAATATTTGAATTTTCTATGAGTGAAACTTTAATGCATAGTAAGGCACTCACTAAATCAAATAGGCCTAGAAGCTAGACTTTTAAAACATTTCCTGCTATAATTCTTTAACCTATTAACTAACCTATAATTAACCTATAATTCAGGGTTCAACACAGTGCTGGCAAAACTACAAGGATGTGACATCTTTAAGAGCCCAAACCATATTCCATGTTAATCATAAATCTGCCCTGCAAGTCAACTTTAATTTTATTAATTTGACACCCCAAGCTTTGCTCCAAAAAGTGTTTGAGGAAATTTATAAAGAGTACATGTTACAAAATAGAAAACCAGAGATAAAAAGAGTCACGACTAGAAGAATATCAATTAGACTGGAATATCAAGCAAGAATGCAAGTTTGTATAGTTAACTAAAGTCTTACTGGAAGTTGGGACTTGAGTTAACTGGACGTCAAAGGAAATAGATACCAGAACACAAGCAAATTGCATCCTGTGCACCCATATAAAACTTTGCACTTCTATGTATACTGGCACCAGATTGTGGGGAATGACAAAGGAAGGGCTTCAAGCCTGAATTCTGGTTCTGAGTGCAGGTCACCACTGTCCTTTAGGGTTTTCTGAGTTTATATATAATTTTTAACAGATTTTAGGAGGTGTAAGGGATAAATCAAGATGAACGAATTTTCAGTTAATTAGAAATTTTTACTAAAAGAGATTCCCTATTTCTCCAACATGCAAGAAAACCTAACTTAGATTGTAAAATGTTATTATTAAATATATTACGCATCTAACAATTTCACAGAACACTCTGTGGCCCCAATCACGTAGTAGGTAAAGCATCTTTTTCACCAATACACAGAAAGACTTTAACATGCATTTATTTATTTGTTTCTAACTATTGAAATGATCTACTAAGCAATAAACTGTATTGCCTAGAGGTTGAGCCGAGCTATATCTCTAATAACCAATTAGAATTTTTTTTTTGGAATTAGGCTATTTTGATGTATTACCTGTAACAAATTGTTCAAGAATTAATTCAATGTTTATTGCATAAAAATGCTAAACTACTGTGTTACATAAACCTGAATTTTGATATTTAGATTTGATGTCCTAACTCCTTTTAAACATGTGGACATAAGGTGGTGCTACAGATCAGAAAAATTCTTCCTACTCCAGAAAAGAAAATAGAATAGGGAAGTATTCTCTTGAAGTTTTTGTATCAGGCTTAATTTTGAAAAGCCCCTCTGATTGATAAACGTCTGGAACAAAGTTCTGAAAAGTCATTTTTATTGGAATTTTATTTTTCAAATATGAAACATTTTTCTGCATATTATTTGGTTTTGAGAACATTTCATCTAATGAAATGAATAAATTTTTCTTCTGATTCTGCTCTATTTCTGTTATCTTAAAGAAAAATGTACAGATAGATTATATCTACGTACCAGGTTTCTCTGCTGTAAAACCAAAACTAAAACCAATACAGGTATAAAAATGAAATCAGGAATTCTGAGACATTTTCCAGATAATGTGATTCAGGCACAGAATATTAAAACCCAACAGTTTAAGCATATGACAATATGATTTAGCCACTAAGTTGACCTAAATAACAGGTAAACATCACTTGTTTATTATGGATTTTGAGAGTACATACATAACCTTAAACTGAAGACACTAGTATGTCAGATACTATTCAAGGCCAAAATAAAACTCAACCTACAAGGCAGATGTGAAAATGGAATTAAGTCTCCCAAACAACGTGCTCAGGGGTTTCAAACCACTAGGACTTGCTATCTTAGGTGGAGATTGAATTTGCAAACATATGGAAGAAAATTCTTCACTACCTAATCTTGATGGCAGATCTGGTAAAATGTCATCACGCCTTTCTCTAAGGTGGGCATTGAAATGATCCATAGTAGAATAATGCACAGAGTAAAATCTCCCAAGTATCTTCATTTTAGGGGAGTGTAGTAGGAAGATTTACAGCACATATACTCCAGTTTCTTCAGGGATAGGTATCTGAGATTTTTCTAGAATGGCTTCTAGAATTGCTCAGCTAAGTAATTCCCCAAAAAGGGATTAGATTTAAAAAGTGGTACAGTGTTGGTCTCTGTAATAAACAGATATTCCAAAAAATGTAAGTTAATTTTAATACCACGAATTAAACTTTTTCTTACAGCTTCTGAAGGTCAGGGTACTTCTCGAAGCCGTCAGGAGGAAGCTTTCTAATTAAGTTCCACTGAAGTGACCTGAAATAAATGTAAATTTTAGTTTTTACTTAAAAGTTTTTTTCTTTAATTTTAAACTACAACAATATGGATAATGATAAACTTATTTACTTTAGCACCAACTTTCAGGAAACATTTATTTCACGATGTCACTCTCATATTCGTAGCATCATTTGAACTAGGTTTAACTCTTGATTTTGTATTGTTAAAGATATTTACCTTTTCTTAAATTTAGGTTACAACATTGTAATTCTGACAAAAAATTTTAAAAATAATGAAACTGGGAAAATAATTTTCAATTGTGTTCTCCTTTTCTATTTTAAAAAACATTAGAAAGCATCTCAGTTTTTGAGTGACTAAAAATAGTGTTTTCTTGTTTAAAACACGTTCAAGAACTTAAATAGTTTTATATTCCTCAATATTTCATTGCTCACATCCCATTACCTTTGCTTCCTTTTAAAATTAGTTTTGAAGGAAACTGTCAATTGGCACTTACAACTGAACATCTTTATTCAATTAGTGATCTCATTTCAATTTCTAATAAATTGTACAGAAGGATTTTTCCTTGTATCACAATTTGATAAGCAGCTTGACACAGACCAGGTTTGCATAATTGTGGTTGTATTGGAAAGGACATAAACCTTTCATTTTCTTTAGAAAATCACTATAGTATAAGGAAAAATATTTTATATACTTGAAAGAGACACAAGTGAGGTTCTCTGAGAGAACCCAAGAGGAAGAGGTTAAATGCACCTAAGTGGAGGGTTACTCTAGAGGGAAGGAAGACTTGTTTAAGGTCTCCTAAATATTTCTTAGAAAGTTGGGTTTTTATTAATAGAGCCTAGGATTTATAGGCTACTTCTTTCTAAATGATGCCAAATATTTTCACAAATAGCATTCTCTATACTTTCATATTACCCTATTGAAATGGAAAGAGGTAAGTGTTATTATTTTCACTTAATAGGACAAACCAAAATACTATATATTTTTTTTGTGAAGAAGATTAGCCCTGAGCTAACATCTGTTGCCAATCCTCCTTTTTGTTTTTGCTGAGGAAGATTGGTCCTGGGCTAACATCTGTGCCCATCTTCCTTCACTGTATAGGGGATGCTACCACAGCATGGCTTAATGAGCAGTGCGTAGGTCCATGCCCAGGATCCGAACCTGCGAACTCCATGCTGCCAAAGTGGAGCATGTGAACTTAACCACTATGCCATCGGGCTGGCCCCCAAAATACTTTTTAATCTAATAGCTTCTTTTTTTTTTTTTTTTAAAGATTTTATTTATTTATTTTTCCCCCAAAGCCCCAGCAGATAGTTGTCTGTCATAGCTGCACATCCTTCTAGTTGCCGTATGTGGGACGCGGCCTCAGCATGGCCAGAGGAGCAGTGCGTCGGTGCGCACCCGGGATCCGAACCCGGGCCGCCGGCAGCACAGTGCGCGCACTTAACCGCCAAGCCACGGGGCCGGCCCTTCTAATAGCTTCTTGCATTTTAAAATTTAATATTCCAAGTTTGTCTCTTCACAAAGTGAAGTGTGTGTGTGAAAGAGAGAAACTACCTAGTTTTATTATTACTGTCAAAGTTAGCTCTAGTTTTTATAAAGAAAGCTCTTACTGTTGGATTATATAGCGTCAGTGACTAAATTCCAGGATCTTAAAATCAGCTCTCACACAGTCAAAGTTAATGTTTAGCAGTGAGAACAATGTATAAATAACCATATTTATCTGTTTGTCTCTTTTGTTCATTAGCATTTATATGAAACGTCTTCAAAAAACCCCAACTTCAATAAATATTAGTTGGATTATTGGCTTCTTCGATACTTTGCTTATATATCATTTAGTCTATTTCTGACATTTCCCTATGATAGTTCAAACTCAAAATATGGAATGAGCTTAGTAATAAAATTTGATATTTACTCTTTTAATGTATTTGCTATAAGGCCTAAAGTTCCTTTTCTCTATGGAATTGAGCAAAGACTGGGATGAGGTATGATGGGTAGTCAGTGTTCTGCAAAGAAAAGTAGGAATGGACAACCTGAATCAAAGTGCTCAGCCCAAAGCACAAGAAAATGTCATTTTTTAACAAAAAATAAAATAAAGTGTTGTAGACGTAAACTCCTTAGCTTCATTCCTACATCTCCAAATGCCTGTTGCAAATTTCCACTGAGTGATCTGTTAACTTCAAATTGAAAGAAACGTCTAAAATTGGAGTCCTAATCTTCCCCACTTACTGTCACCAGGTCTCCGCATTCCCGGATCATGCTATTACTCAGGATAGAAACCTTGGAGTCATCTTGACCCCCTCCTTCTCTCTTGCCTTCCTATAGCCAATCATTCATGAGGATCTGATCCCAGCTTTTTCCTTTATACCAAGCGTTGAAAACTGGTGGCCCATGTGCCTGCACACATCTCTTTATGTATGTATGTATGTATGACTATGTGTACATATGTGTGCATGTATTGAACAGTTTTAAAAAAAAAATTGAATCAGAATGCCTTTAGGCGTGGCATGTACTTTCTAGTTAATCATTGCCTAAACCGCCCCCTTTCCTCCAGTTTTCTCCTTCTATTCCTTTCTTTTACAAAGGTTACTTGAGTTGTTTAAGAATGGAATCAAATCTTATTTGTGGTAAAATGAAAAATGCGATTGGCAGCACCAAGGTATTCTTTGATATAAATTTTCTAGTAATTTGATACAAGCAGTAGGGGTGATAAATTTTTTTCTTTGAAAATAGAATGAAATCATCATAAATTTTTATACCTAGCAATTCCAGTCAGAATTTAAGTCATGGAAACTCTCCACAGGACCTCAGATATTTGAGAAGGGTTATTATTTTTTTCTAGTAGGACTAATTACTTTGAAAAAGAATTGAGGATAGGATAAAATGTTATTCTTAGTTCAGAGGGGAATGTTAACCTCCCTCTGAAAAGTCTCTGTGGCTTAACCTGCCTGATGTTCTCAGCTCACTATCAATTTGAGTAAACTCCCCAGGTCATTATAAATTGCATCAACTCCCCAGATACTGTTAATTTGATGATACCACTATCTACAGGAACTCGAAGCTGTAGCTCTTCCTTACCTCTTATATATGAGTTTCTGTATTATGTGGTTTGGGTTGAAAAAGTCAGGACTTGTCAACATTTGTAAACCTAAGAATTACTCTTATTTTGTCTTCATATACCCAAAAGTCAGACCCAGAAGGCACTAAAACATTTGCATGTAACAAAAAACTCAGCAAAAATATTGGGTTAAAATATGTTTCCTCCACTGATTTTTGAAAGGTTTCAGCCAAATGTGTGCTTGTGTTGCTGAAGTTTGTTGAATTCAAATTAGTACTAGATCAAGAAATCACTTATTATGAGGATAATTTTCTTTTACACGCATAAGTTTGAGTTACTAAGGAAAAAAAACAACATCAACATCTCTGAGTCAAATGTGATTCACAAGAGTTAGATTTTAAATGTGAAGTTCTGGGACTATTTTATCCAATTTGTTTCATTTGTTTTCTTTTTTTACATATACATAAGAATGTATTAACATTTATTTCCAATAAAGTCTAAAAGAGTTCTTTCAATAAGTATCAATTCTTGTAATAAGAAAGCTCCATATAATAGTTTAATTGGCAGGCTTTTTTCTTTAGTAGCACATACAACTGATTGCATCTTTTGTTTAGATAAAATACAATGATACTAAATACTTCATAGGATTGTTATGAGCGACTAAATAAATTAATATATAGAATAATTTAGAGTAGGGCCTAGCATTTAATAATGCAAAATAAATATCAACAATCATTATAATTGACCAAGGAACAATGACATAATCTTTGAATAAAAAATGCATTATTAATAATGACAAGGCCTTAATTACGATGCAGTTCTGCAGTTGCTATTCTGTCAGGATGAAGCCATCCTTGTCTACTTACATTATAGTCACATTTGAAGAAACTGATGGAACATCTCGTAAATTCGTCTCATCACAGTTAAGCTCTAAACCTCGGCAAAGACATTGCACAGGAATTGAACCAAGCACTGAATAAGGAGGAAACAGTAAGGAATGGGGATGGTGAGGGACCAGGAAGAGGAGGGAAATGAAAAGAAAGAAATGAAAACCTGTGAGAAAATTATTTAGTATAAAGTATGTCATGTTTTACCTAAATTTGGGCAATGCTTTAAGTTTCCAAAATTTGCTTTTAATTTAATGTTAAAATGATGCTAGAACATTAAGATAGGAAAACATACACATTTACCAGCCCACGCATTTTTTTAAATAGACTGCTCCTCTCCAGTTGTTGCAAAATGAATGAAGTCATCTGCTCTCACTCATCCTAGGAGAGGAGCTATGTCCCAGGGTGACATGATAGTGTGTGACAGCCTTTAATGTCCATATTAAAGCCACTACTTAAGAGTAAAGTATTTATTAATAGCATAATCAAACCTTTAATAGAAGACTAAGTCATTTTTAACTAGCGAGAAAGAAAACTAAACACCAAACTACAGTGTTGGTAGAATTTTTTTTGAAAATTCAGGCATTCTTCAAAGGATTTTTAATGATCTTTTGGCTTATGTAGGGGTGTTATAGAAGTGAATGTTTTTTATGCATAGCCATTCTATTCTCACTTATGGGAGTTGGAAAGAGAAAGAGAATGGGATGTATGCCTTTGGCCATCTTGTGGGGCTATAGTGATAGTCTTAAAGATGTGATTCAACATTTCTAAAGTCTGTTAGAGACTTGCAATGATGTGTTCATGTAGCTGAACAGTAAAATGGATTATTATTCAGTATAAAAAATATAGTCTGATTCCTGCCTTGATGGGGGAATGGTTGATTACTTAGAACAATGAGGAGTGCTTCCCTTCTACAATTACTTTGAAACCCTACACTGTATAGCATGATGTCTTATTATGAACTCATGGAAAAGGAGACTCAACCCCTCTGATTACTTACGGCATTCAGATGTTACTGCCTCAGAGGAATATGGTAAAGTCATTTTGTAGTAAGTGGAAAAATATTTGTCAAATTGCAAAGACCATCCACTGTTGTCTCCTAAAATAAAAATCAGAGAGTAGAAAAGTTCAAGAAAACAGAAATATTCTGGAGTGTTGAGGAAAATAGGTCCTTTCTTTAAAATAAACGCATGATTCTCAAGCATAGTGAGATAAATATTTTTTGAGAGCTTGTACAAATCTGTATTTCTGGGCCATCTACCTAGAGATCCTGATTTCATAGGTCTGAGATGGGTTTCCTAGTCTCCATTTTTGACAGGCACTACAGTGATTCTTCAGCAAGTAGCATTTGGACCACACTTTAAGAAACAGTACTTTAGATGTACTGAGCCGCAACACACTGTTCTTAGCATATTAATTATGATTCTCTCAACAACAATAAACAAACACATAGAGACAGAGATTGGATTGGTGGTTACCAGAGGGGAAGGGGGGAGGGAGGAGGGCGAAAGGGATAATTTGGCACATGTGTGTGGTGATGGGCTGTAATTAGTATTTGGGTGGTGAACATGATGTAATCTATGCAGAAATAGAAGTATAATGATGTAGACCTGAAATTTATATAATGTTATAAACCAATGTTACTGTAATAAACAAAAAATTAAAAAAAAAAAGAAATTGATTGGAACAATACAATAAACCAAACTACAGACTTCACTCAGAAAAATAAAAAATTATGATTCTCTCAATCTTCTTCGATCATTTAAACTGATGTTGGAGATTATTAACATAGATAAATGGTCATGATAGTTAAATAAAAAAAGAAAAAAATAACATGACCAGCATGAACTCATTCCTTTCTTTTTTTAAAGGCATTATGGTGTCACCTTTTAGTTATTTTTAAACATGAGATAATGAAGCCAGCCAGATGATAGAATGGGGATGTAGGAGCAGATTCTCTGGAGATCACTGCAGATGGTACAAGCCTTCATCCTACTGGTGATGAGTGTTGAATGTGACCTTTTCCAGAGGTTTTTAAATGTTTTCAGAATGCTACCGGAACTCTTTAACAATGTATAAACATACAGACAGAAGACAGATATTATACAATTTTATCTTATTTCTATAAGTTAGTGTTAAACATAGCACTGATTTTTAGAAATTATTTTTCCCATGTATGTATACAGTTGTGCGTCCCTTAACAATGGGTATACATTCTGAGAAATGTGTCATTAGGTGATTTTGTCGTTGTGTGAACATCATAGAGTGTACTTACACAAACCTAGATGGTATAGCCTACTACACACAGAGGCTATATGGTACTAATCTTATGGGACCACCATCATATATTAGGTCTGTCGTACACCAAAACGTCATTATGTGGTGCAAGACTGTAACTCAAATCCGAAACTTGAATCCAGATATTACACCTTCATTCAGTTGCATGGATCTGGTGAAACTGACCTATACTATATCCATGGTTTCAACTCTGATCAGAGGACTTCCAAATTATATCTCAAGCCCACACTTTATCTAACGTGTGACATGCAGTCAATTTACTATAGGCACTTCAAATTCAACATTCCCAAAAAGGAACTCAGTATCTTTCCCCATATAAACTTGCTACTCCTTCTAAATTCTCTGGATTGGTGAATGGTTCCCACAATCTATCAAACTGCCCAGAAAAGAAAGATTAAGTTTATTGGGATATGCTCATACCTGATTAAATGTAATTTGTACGATTTCCCCCCACCCCAGGTTATTTTCTTATTTTCCCGTGACTCATTAACTCTTCCATGAAGATTACATTTGGGAAAAGGAAAGGTATTCTAACATAAATGCTATATATACTTGTAAAATTAGACTTCCTTTTGGAAGTCCCACTAAAAATGAAAAATTGGAAAGAAGATTATTAAACATGTATTTATAGCATTCTCCTTCCTTTAGCATTACTCATTAGTTTTAAAACTTCTTTGTCACAGAAGATTTCAAAATAAACAAAAGTAGCAAAGCAGTATAATGATATCTCAATTCAGAGAGAGATAATTGATGGACCTCAAATCTACCAACCGCAGACTTCAGCATGAGACTCCAGCTGGCCACCAGTAACTAGGTGGACAAGGGACAACACTCCAGAACCAGCAAATACCAGCATATATCCATTGAATACCCAGGAGCCAGTTCAAGGTGCCCGCTCAACCCTGGACATCATGAGGATGATATTTTAGGCAGATAAAGAGAAGGAAGGGAAGGTAATTTAAGAGATTGAGCTTTGTACAGCCCAGTAGACACTATAACTTATTGAGAATGTGGTGGATTTTGTGTGTTTGCTCCTCCTCCATTCAATCTTCAGTTTAGAATGCTTTCTCATTCTTTAGAAGTCGGTAACTTAAATCTACGTTTTCCAGACCGCAAGCAGCTAAAGATCTTGTTACAGATAAGTTTCTACCAATTGGATGTCCTCGCGTGAGACTGGAAGTCCGTAGACACGAGTCTTGTTGGTACCTAGTGGGAGTGGGGCAGTTGCTAAGGCCAGTCTCAGGGTTCCAGCTTCACGGGTGAAGAGATGGTCAGCAGCAGCAGAGGTGGCAGCAGCAGCTGCTTCTTGATCTTGGGCTTGCAACTATGGTGGCGTGTTTCCCACCCCCGACTCCTGCTTCTGTAGCCTTTACAGTGATTCTATAAACACATTCCTCTCTGTATGAAATCTCTTGTTTCTTAAGCCAAAAAAAAAAAAAAAACCATTCTATAATGGTTTCTGTTTCCTCTTTCTAGAGAGGTTTGCAGACAACAGACTCTGAAGGATAGAAACATTGGATTGGTTATCTGAACTGGTTGGTTTTGAAGATAATGGCAATCCTGTTAGCATTAGAAAACCAGACTCTCCAAGTTTATGGCACACGGTGACAAAAAATGTTACTTAAATTATCACTTGTGGCTTCCTAGGATGATGTGCCTCTTAGAAGGCTAGACTCTGGCAAAGCGGTTGCTATGATGAATCATTAGAATGAAAATGAGAAATTTCAAGGGTTGTGGAATGAGTAGGCTATGGAGATGCCCTGGAGAGATTAAAGAAAGAAAATGACAAGCTTAGGGTTTGACATTATCTGCTCAAAAAAGTTCAGAGAACCAGGAAGCTTCCATGACTACCCTAAAATAATCTTTTACTTCTTATGACCTCAGAACGGATATAGCCTTAAATCAGACAGAATCTGATCCAATGGGTTGCCAAGATTACAATATAAGCTGAATTCATGCTTTGACATATCTTTTACGTGAACATTAAGACAATAATTTGGAAAGAGGGACCCTGTGAATTGTAATGAGACATTTGAGTGTTCAGTTGAATTGGAGTAGCCTAAATCCCCATCCCACTGAACCTCTCTTGCCAGCAGAAGCAGCTCCCTTTCCCTGCCAGATGAGGTTAGTTGTAGTTTGTTGGAGACATGTTAGTTACTTTCCTTGAGGTAAATAACTTGTCAACTCTCTTCAGGCCCTTTCATAATCATGTTCTTCCCAACCTATTGTAACTAGAGTCAGATCCCAGCATGCCCCAGAAGACAAGTACCAAGTTGATCTTAGAAAGAGAAGATTGACATACCAAAAGATTTTGCTATTTTGTATAAGCAGAAACCTAAGGAACTTACGTGGGAACAACAGTTGCTAAGAGTACTAGATTAGGAGGGACTGTAACTTTAGATTGGGCGAAGCTAACTAACATGGGTTTCTGGATTCAGTGTTCTAGCTCAAGCACTAGTTCGCTAGATTGTTGACTGAAATCTGGACTCAATGTTGCCCTAGGCTAACTGAAGTTGAGAGGGAAAAGCATATGGGTGTTGAATCACTAAAGGGATAGATTATGAGGGACATGGCCATTGTATTCTACAGCTGAAACAGACCCAGAGTGGGTACTGTAGATTGACTCACTCAACCTCCATTCAACTCGCCCTCCGTTGGTGTGCTCCTGTAGAGCAGAGGCTGAAAAGTGTAAACATTTCACATCTCCTGTAGAGCCAGGATTTGGGGTGCACGCCCACATATTTTGATTGGTAGAAGAGGTAAAGGTCATTTTCGTGCTGCTATGTCTAAAACAGAGACACAGTGTTAAGAGGCAACTGTGGCAGTGGAAGGGCATTTTGGATTTTACCAGCTTTGTGGGTGTCAAGAGGCAGTTGTGTTGGTGGTAGGAGTGGCAGGACTGACAGTGGTGGTGGCAGCAACTGTCTTAGTACCTGGATTGTAGCTATGGTGGTGTGCTTTGGGATTCAATGGCCCCAGTGGGGGCCGTGCTGACTCCCACTATTCCAGTCCTTCTGAGAATTTTGTAAGTATCTACTTTCTGTTTAACATACCTAGAGTGAGTTCTGTTTCTTGCATTAAATCCTGATAGATACAGAGACTGATTGAATTACTGGATTAAAATATGGCTTAAACATGATTGTACATTTAGTTAATTTTGGGAGCTCAAGTGGAATCTCAGGAGTCAGAACAAAGGAGTGCATTTTTTCTGAACCCATGAGCTTCAGTGTAATATAGTTTTGTGGTCTTGCTGCAAGAACATTGGCGACGATTTTCATCATCTTCCCGCACCTCCCATATGGGTTCTGGGGATAGGATCAGGAGCCCCACGAAATGTTTTGCTCTGCTGGTTGTTTGTTTTCTTGGTTGTCAGGTTGTAAAGTTTATGGCATTAGATTGTCCCCCTTTCCTGGTTTGGCTGAGTTTGATGACTTTTTTGGCAAGTTTTTACTTTTTTTTTTTTGTGAGAAAGATCGGCCCTGAGCTAACATCTGCCAATCCTCCTCTTTTTGCTGAGGAAGACCAGCACTGGGCCAACATCCATGCCGATCCTCCTCCACTTTATATGGGACTCCGCCACAGCATGGCCTAACAAACGGTGTGTCAATGTGCGCCCGGGATCTGAACCGGGGAACCCCGGGCTGCCCGCGGAGGCGCGCACTTAACCGCTTGCGCCACCGGGCCAGCCCCGGCAAGTTTTTACTTTTAAAAACTTGGTTCATATCTTTAGATATAAGAAAGAAGAATTCTGGGAGAGATTTGAATTCCTCCATTTTAATAGAGAAATTTGATATTAGCGCT